CTTAAAAGCATTATATATATATATATAATTTTTTTTTTTTGGTACCAGAAATGGAACTGAGGACCTTGCACTTGCCAGGCAAGCACTTGTGCCCCTGAGCTATATCCCCACCCCCTAAAAGCATTACTCTTGAGGGGCCCGTGCTTACCAGTGCACAGATCATGGTGCCCAGCAGGAATATGCCAGGCGGCACTGGCCGTCCAGCTTCAGCCTCTGACGTGAGGAATGACCAGGCAAGACCCAGCTTAATGTTGTCAGTGATTTATTATCCATCATTCTAAAGACTAGCACATTTACAGCATACATGGCTTTGAATGAGCTAAGAATATATAAAACAGTAACTATGTTTATATATATATTTATATATATATTAATACTGCCCAAAACAAATAAATAAAAGTATTTTAACACGCTAGCTTGGCAAGTACAACTGTGTGGGGACGAAGCTATTATACAGTATTTTTACATGTGGAAAGGAGACCGAAGGCAACTGTGCTGCAGGAGCTCGGACAGAGCCCATCCGACCTTCCCGCCGTCCCTCCATCACGACGTTGCGTTTCTAGTGCGGTGAGGGGGACACTGCACGGAACCTGTCACATGGCCTTCCTGACACGGCAGGAAGCTCAGGGTCCTCCAGGCGGACCCGAGCTGGGTCTGCCTGAGGCTGACTAGTGTGTCCCCAGTGCCACCAGGAGCCGGTCACATGCTTTCAGAAAGCACACTGGAGCCGGAATCTTTTCTACACGATTGGCCAAGCCTTAGCATTATGGTGACCCACAACAGAAACCAAAAATTGGAAAAATACTCCACACTAAGGTGCTCCACGCAAAACTGCTGACAGATGAGTCAACACTTGCTGTATTCCCTTTATGAATGCAGATATTTAATGTTCTTTGGACAAAAAAGGTTGAGAATATGAGTAACATTTAATTTAAAAAATAAAAGTTTTGAAAGGCTGTGATGTTAAAATAGGAAAAGCTGGAACTAAAAATAACAAGTGAAATGGTGCAGAGGTGACAGGCTAAATGAGCCGTATTGAAAACGAGCTGCCTTTGACCAGAGACCGACCAAGGGGAATGTCTGACACCGGCAGGTTTGGTGGACAAGAGTTTCTCTGCCACTTGCCCGCCACGGTGAACCTATCAATGAGGGAGGTCACTGAGCTGTCGCCAGCCCTCATTACAGGGTCCCCCACACCAGCGCCCATCCTCCCAGCAGGCACCAGGTGACCGCAGGCTATTTGCGCGCTGCCTTCTGGGTACGAGGAGGTCTCGGTCAGTCACCCAGCTCCACCCCGGCCGGATGCTCACCTACTCTGTGTCCCTGCCAAGGCTGGTCCTGCCTGTGCTTCACTCCAGGCCCAAGCTGGTAAGTGTTTCTAAAGGAGCCAGAAGAATAGTATCTAGAGTTGTATGTATTTCCAACGTGTGTACAAATCATTAGAGTCAGCATTGTTTATATGTGCCACATATACTTCATTTACATCCTTTTAGATAATATGTAAACATAATCATGATAAAAAAGTTGCCAAAACATAAAACTCTTAAGGAGGGAAAATCTCTGCTATGTGCAGATAAGACCCATCATCACCTCATAAAAGATGACCGCACCATTTTAAACCCCTTTCAGAATCTCATTTGAAGAGTTCACTTGAACATTTTCTCAACAGTCATATAACAGAATGAGAAGAGGAATGTAACAATTATTGCAAACCTGAAAATAAGCCACTTTCATCAGACATTCAAACATGATTGTATTGTCTTGTAGAAAAAGATCTATTGGAAATCCCACGAAAGAATTTTTGTTCTGAAAATACTTAGGTTTCCACTAGCTCTACATAGTCATAGATTCCCCACAAATGTATTATCTCTTAGACATCAGCCACGTCACATTTCTGGTCCTTCAGGACAGAACTTCCAGGGAGGAAGGAGAAACTCTGGGCATGGCGGACCTACACGCAGCGCTCAAGAGCAGACAGCACACAGGGACCACGCCGCTGGCTCCAGACTCCAGGGGACACCCTGCACTGGAACTCACGCTGGACAGGAAGAGGCGTGGCCCCAGCGTGTGGTTCCTCTGCAGGGGTCACCTCTGCATCGAGGCTTAGCTCAGGGTGACTGCTCAGTCTCTCAACTTTGGGTTTTATGGATGGCAGGAGGTAATTCATTAGGAATGAGTCCCCCAAACTTGAGTGAACAGTTATCAGTCTGCCTGGGATCCAACTGTTTCACAGTCAGAATTTTAAAAAGTAGATTGTAATTCAAGGCTCACTTTTGAGTTACTCAGTAGAAAAATAAGTTAGGTGAGCAGTGCCTAAGTGGGTGTTTGAAAAGGTCCTCTGGCCTTTTGGACGGAGCTAGCTGGATGCTTAGGTGACTACCAGTGCTAGCTGTGCTGATAGCTGAAGGCTACTTAAATGGGCATAGTTACTATCCACACTACCGAGCCAACAATACCTCCTATGGATTCCAATGGAAAGAACATGCTCCATAGACTCTTTAGTGAAATATTTTTTTAAAACCACAAAAATAAAAAGCCAATCCTTCTGGTCTTCTTGAAGAATTCGTATATAACACTAGAGGGTACCCACATTTATGAGGTGACAACTAATTAGAGGAAACCGTGTGTTCATGTTTCAACTTTGCCGTAAGTCCCTTCGGGAGGCCTGTAATGCTTGGGGAAAGCCTTCAGCTGCAGGGAATTAAACGCATATTTGCGACTTCCAACATTCTTCATTGTGTTTTCTCTTCGACAACCCTCACTGGGGAAAAAACAAGCACAAGAAATGACAGCGGTAAAAAAGGCAAAAAAAGAAAAGACTTAAAAACTAAGATGAAATGAACTGATTATTTTCATAGCATTAAAAATGATTCATTTAAACAGGTGCGGGACTCTTCACAACAAATACACACAGGATGGCGGGTTTCTAAACAAGCAAGAAGCACAGAGATGAATACAAGCCGTATGGGGCCGTGCGCTGGGGATTTCCAACAGCGGGGCTGTATCTAAGTGGAAGTGCATTCCTTTAAATTGGTGATTTATCTCCAGTCTAGTTATTTCAGGCTGTATCGTAACTTGTGGCTCCAAGGTTCTTTGACATAGCAAATTAAGTGGAGGGAGAACTATTACCACTCTCAGCAAAGTGTTTAAAGAGCTGCATTTTTGTATACGGTGAGCACTACAATCACATCAAACTCAAAATACTGGTTTCCCTTGCAGAATTCAGTACGTAGAAAAGCCTTGTGGCTGAGGAAGCAGTTCTGACATCGATCTCCACTTAGGGCACAGCTCTTCTGGGTGCAAAGCAATCCCTCAGGCCCAGGCACTGTCCGCATGACTATCAGAGCTGGGGCCTTGTGAAGAAGTGAGCCAATGAAGCGCTCCTTTAGGGCTGCTGCCCTCACCACGGTCACCTCTTGCACAAGTGCCACTGAGCCAGTGAGAGCCCACAGTGCTCTTCCCTAGAGAACTCACTGCCACATCATCCCCCGCTGCAGGTGATGGAGGTTGTCATGGCAACCCAGTGGCAAAATGTATGGTACCCAGGAGGATGAACAGACAGGTGGGTCTCACATTCTCAGTGGGAGCCTCCAGTGAGTTCTCTGGGAAATGTTCTGATGTAGACAAAATACACAAGCAAAAGTGATCTTTAAGTACAAATGCCTTCCCACAGCACAGTGTAACTTCGTGTTTGTGTACTGTTCTAACACTAGCAATGAGTTCATCTAGTTATCAAGTTCAGTATAAAATCCCCCTTATGTAATGTGAAATTTGCAGTTACCAAGAAACAGTGACTTAAAAAAAATACTTTGTATGAAGACCACTGTGCCATGCATTTTAAAAATGTCAGTGACAACTGCTCAAGCCTTTCCAAGTGAAAACCACAGTCCCATTACCAAGAATGTGTGAAATACTTTCTGGTAAGACAGTAGTTTTAGGAAATTGTCCACCTGGTGGCTATTAACGCATGCAGCGACTCCAATGCTTTCTTGCCCTGGAGCCTCCCATCCACAGCTGCATGTGTCACCTGAGTTGAGCATCTAGGCCACGTGAGCAAGGTCACGTGTGTCAAACATTCAGTAATCAGATAAAAATATATTTCTATTTAAAGCAGAAGACATGGGTTTTTATACACAATCTTTGGAAGTGCTTACATTAACAGACTCAGATATGGCTTCTCCATTTGTATCAAAATGTACAAACTTCTCAGAAAGCAGCTATCGCTACTAGGGTCTGCCAAACTCCCTTGAGGAGGGAGAAGAACAATCTGTATTTGCATGTGAAAGGAGCTGATACCTGGTTTAGCTGACTGCATACATCAGATTATACTACCAATTTAGTTCCTAAATCGAACATTTCTCCCGAATGTTGGCATTTATAAAATCTGGCTACAGCCTTTGTGCTGCCACTGTGTGATGTGTGGGTCTCCATGAGCTGTCACTCAGCCTGGGACCAGGTCTATAGAGGTGAGAGGGCGCCCTGGTGGTCCATGGAAGCCAGCAGGAGAGTTGTAGTTATTCTGAGGTGATCTGATTATTTTTCTATTACATCAGAAGTACTTATTTTTCAAGAATATCCATTTTTGAAATGAAGTTCATGTGCAATCCCTAAATGACACCTAACTTTAAGGAGGCCTCTGGATTTCCTCCTCTGGCGGGGCTCTCCCACCCTGGAGCCCACCTGGAGGCCTCAGTGGCTTGGCCACCCTTCAGCAGACCGGGGAGCTGCTTTGCAGAGGGACAATGTGCCACTGTTTCAAGATCTCCACTTGAAACAAGCAGGGCAGTCAGCAGTGACCGTCGTACTGACTGAAAGAACTCGTAAGGCCACCCAACAGGAAGCCCTGTAACTTCAGAAGGCTGCCTGCACACTGCAGGGCTAGGGCAGAAGACATCACTCCGCCTCCGCGCTGAAGCTGCTTCAGCACCGAACAGCGCAACTCCCCTCCCGCGCACCTCCTGCCAGTTCCACCCTGCCTGGTTCTCGCTAAAGCAGACAAGATTATGAATATGCATCTGGCCTTGTTTCATGAGCTAAAGCCTGTGGTGATGTTAAAACTCAGCATAAAGGGCCTCCATGCTGAGTTTTCTCAGATACTGTTAAAAAAGAAAACCAAAAGCCACCCGCTGCCTGGACTGACTGATGCAGGGACAGGGCAGTGCACAGCCTCTGCCCAGCCCCGGGAGCAGCAAAACCAAGGGCCTGGGCCTCTTGCCCTTCTGCCCCGCTTCTCTCTCAACCCAGCGGCCAGCTCACACAGGACAAGAGGGCGTTGCTGGCCCTGACAGGAGCTGATCAGGCCACGGTGTCCTGGAGGCGCCCTCAGGAGGACTCCTCCGGCTGCCCCAGCTTCTCTCTGCTGTGTGGTGGGGTCCTGAGATGGGACCCTGCCCAGTACCACAAGGCACCCAGGGGCCTTGGGGAGGGAGGATGCTGTCTGGTAAGACACCTCCCTACTCTGTGTGTGGTCCCCGCCTGGCCGCCGTCCCGTGAAGGTGGGCGTGCGCAGGGACTGCCACCACGGGCATCAGGAACTTGTCGCCTGAGCAGAGGCTGTGGGCTCTTATTTTCTTTTTCAAATGAGGCAAACAAAATAGCCCCCAAAAGTTGAAGTATGCACCGCGGCATGAAACAGGGCAAGCTTCCAAGTTTGGACACAGCACAGTCCAGGGCACAGTCAGCTCGCCATCAGGGAGACTTTGCACTGAAAGCTTGCTCTAGAGAGACCGGGGCACTCCGCAACAGGCTAACAGGCGTGATGCCTGCCCAGGACGCCTGCAGCGCCGGAGGGTCTGGGGAGCAGCGGTCCCCGGGGTGTGAGAAGGCCTTACATTGTAGAGTTTACTGTTTCGGTTTGACACTTGTCATTCTTTGCTTCTGTGACTCCTAGAACCCCTCCTCTGTGCTGATGCCAAGTTGGAGAAACCCAGGGTAAGGTCTGGAAGTCTTGGAGAGAGAATGGAGAGGTCAGACCGCTGTGGATTGGGCCTGTGTGCGTGTGGGGGCCGGGCTTCTGGAAAAGCCAGATTTTCTAATTTACTCATTTTTCTACACTTGTGAAAAGAAATCCACTTCGTAAGTTTTAGCGTACAGGAAACCAATTAGAAATCCAAAATAGAAGCAGAATCTAATACAACCCGAGAGGCGCAGAGAGGCCACTTTCTTACTCAGGGTGTGCAGCATTTCCCCTGGTTTATTTGGTCAACTTTACGGGCAGACAATTACCCCCTGCCACATCCGAATGCTAAGGTGACAATCATCCTGTGTTAGGGACATTACTATGTTAAAATGAAGAGTTACAATAGCAGGAATTAAAGTAACTCTCAGGACACAACTACTCAAAAGCTAACCCTCATTTTTTGGTAATTGTTCTTTGACTTTTTGAGGGGGGCGCTGTTGTTCATTACTAACCATATGTGGTTAGTAAGACAGGGATGTGTGGACTTAACCTGAAATTACAGACGGATTTTTTTAAATGTAAAATGCTAGGTCAAGAAAAGTAAGTGCATGTAACTTAAGGTCCTTTTGTTACAATGTGCATTAATTCCTAGAGTCAGTGTAACATCCAGGAGTTCTCTGCAGTCACATGCAAAATGTGATCTTTATGTGCCGACATGAGACAATGCTCTACTCTCTTCAGAGCTGTGTCACCCCCAACTGGAACTAAAGAAGCAAGGAAATGCATGATTCTGCAAACTGTTTGCTACTGTAATCCAGGGACTACGCTTTAAAATGAAAGCAGAAAGTATATGTCCTATGAAATAGGCTGATCTGATGAGTCAGTTATAAAGCATCTATCTTTTTCATTTTTCTTCAAAAGGGAAGGGTAAGGTGAGCGGTACACTTAAAGAATAGTATCAAATATACAAATTCTTTTCAGACAGAATTCCCTTCTCTTGGAAATAGGGCACATGAGATGTACAGGTAATAAACAGCTTTACATCAGAAGGTTAGAGATTTGGTACAAATCATTCCAGGCCAGCTAAATAAAGTGGTAACGGGCACAGCACCGTAAGAACATGTTACAAGCACTGAAGACGCTACAGGATTGAAATGAACAAGTCCTCTTGGCGAAATAATTTGGCAGGTATGTACAGTTCAGAAGAACAAAACATCAAACTGTAAGGCATGAGATATTTCTTGGCAGGCCACGCTTTGACACCTTCCTTCTGTGCAGTTAGGTACACGGTGGCTGGACATATTCGGGCACTTTTGTTTTCTCTTGTGACTCATTAATTTTTCAGAATGATACTCATTTGCAACGCAATTTGGTCACCAGGTATGCTATGCTCAGAAAGAGCCACACAATCAGTAAATTGGGGCTCAGCGCTAATAAAGGAAGGGAACAGAGGAGGCTGGGGTCTAGCCTTAAGTCCCGGATGGGCACCAGGCCGCTCAAGTTCTTCTGGGTGACTACCTCCCGTGTTCCAATGCTGTGAAAAGGAAAAAGTGCGGGAGAAAGGAAAAGAAAAAAAGAAAGGGAAGAAAGAAAAAAAGAGACACATGCGATGGATTTTACGCAAAAGTATGGGGAAAAAAGAGAACCAAACAGTAAGATTTTTAAAAAAAATGGAATGAAGTCACAAAAGAAAGAAAAAATGGTATGCAGAGAAGGGTGTGAAAGGAGACCAAAACAAAACCAGCACAGTCACAGGAGAAAAAAAAGGAGAGAAAGAGAAGTGAAAATAAGAAAAAATACTGCAGTCCACTGCAAAAAAACACATGTAGGTTGGAGAATGGTTTTCCATGTTCACTGTCTCTCAGCTGGCCAAGCAGAGCCCCACGCCGCCCGCCGGCCCCGCATGCTGCGGCCGGGCGTCTCGGAGAAGCAAGCTGAACATGAAGAGCCATGGCTTTGACCTTCTCACAGATGCCCGGGCGGGGCTGCCACAATGGAGGTGGCCAAGCTGCCTCTTGATGCACCACACAAACGAAAACCATTTACCCCAGGGACCCGCCTGAGCGGAGCCCTCCCTGGACAGCCGGGGGCCGCAGGCCGAGCAGTGCAGGGCCGGAGCAATGGTGTCCCCAGCCGAGTGCTACTCTCCACAATCTCATGCTGGGCACTTAGGTTTTCCCCCTCTTTGGGCACTAAAGAAGCAATGTCCTGGGGCCCTGTGCAGCTCGGAGGTGGGGCCTGTGGCGAGCACGCACGAGGCCTGGAGTTCAGTCCCCAGCACCCCCTCGCTCAAACAAAAATGAAAGGTGGAAGGAAGGAAGGAAAGAAGGAAGAAAGGGGGCGCTGAGATGGTCCCTAGAACCACCTGACTGTAACCTCATCCACGTTCACAAGTAGCAACAGCAACACGGAGTCAGGGGTCACAGAACATCCAGTCCTGGGTCCCAGGCAGCTGGAAGGACCCGCTGGAGATGGGCAGGAGGAGGTCCAGGGACCCTGGGAGCCTTGGGCGGCCCTACAGGTCTGTGCTGCTCCAAGAGGGAACACTTTCCACACTGGCGCCCCGTGTGCTGGAGTCGGCGCACGTGGCTCGTCCCAGGGACGTCTGGTGGTACCACCTGGGGCTGGGGATGAGCCCTGGTGGAGCTATTCAAGCCCCCGCAATTGCCAAATGCTACAGATCAGGGCTTCTTAGGAACGGGCTGATTGCTGAACATTCACAGCCACTGCTCCCCTGCGCTTTCGGGAACTGGGGCATCAGCTTTGCGCCAACCTGGGCCACCTGCCTGCTCTGTTTTTCACCGGTAAGATGAAACAAGAAGGGAGGGGGACCACACCTTCCCGCATACAGGGGCCTCGGGTGGATGGCAGGTGCCACTTGGGGCCTGCGCTGACCAAGGATGTGTCATCTCTAGCAAGCTTGGACGTCAGGAGGAGGGTGGTGGGGGGATGGGAACCGTGGTCTGGAGGGCAGCTTGCTAATTTACATAAAAACTGCTACAAAGCCTGACCAAGGGGTATGATTTATAATCTAAGAATTCAATCTGGCAAATGTTGGTAGGAAAGTAGGTATATTCACTCACCATTGATTAAAATGCTCAACACTCATATGCTGCTTAAATACTCAAAAGTTAGAAAAATTATGATGTGTTAAAAATAATAGGCGTAGGCCAGGCATGGTGGTGCACACCTGTAATCCTAGCACTCAGCAAGCTGAGGCAGAAGATCGCTGTGAATTGGAGGCCATCCTGGGCTACATAGTGAGTTCAAGGCCAGCCTGAACTGCATAGTGAGACTCTGTCTCAAAAAGGCAAAAAAAAAAAAAAAAAAAAAAAAAAAAAAAAAAGGCCTACATTCATTAGCCTAAAACACTCAAAATAGCTAAATGGAAAAAGAAGTAGGCTAAAACAATGGCAGAATGGTACTTGTAAGTGCATTTGTGTGTGGATGTACGTAGTATGTGGTAGTCAGGCACTGGTGAACTGACGTGGATTAACCACACTCATGCCCGCATGTATAGGTAAGTATGGTGTGTATATGCCTTTGGAAGAAGATGCACAAAATACTGACATGGCTCTGTAACTACAGGAATAGAGGGTTCACCTGCAGAGAGGTGTATATTTGCATTAAAAGGACAGAGAGAGAGAGAGATAGGACTAGTGCAGAGGCTTATCTAATTTTCTCACTAGGAATATCAACTACTTACGTGATTCAAAGTTGTAAAGAGTGCTTTGTGTGTCATAATAGTTGTACCAGCTCCTCTGGGCTGGGAACGTGGTACAGTGTGTGCTCACCATGTTTGAGGCCCTGGGTTCCATACCTGGCATAAAACAAAATTCCTCAAGACAAAACAAAGCCCTTCCGCCAAATCAACAGAAAAGCTGTCCTGCAAAGCTCCAGTGAGCTAGGAGATGGACGGCCCTGTAGTCACAAGGAGTCTCTCTGGAGCCACTTTACCCTGGTTGCTGGTAACCTGGTGCTCAGACGTGGTCAGAATGAGTTACTGTCTCTGCTAATTGCTCGCAAGCTCAAAACCAGACAGAGAGCAGGAGGCCTCACCTGGTCCTTTACTGCTGACCACCCTCACCCAGGTTTGATCTTTGCTGCCCAACCACAACAAGGGCCCTCTCACCCGTGTGCCGCTGGCTGGGTGCAGGCTGACTGCCACCTAAGGCCGGGCTCTCCTTGGACAAGGGAGCCTGCAGGGCCCGGGGCCTGGGGGCAGGCCTGAGTCAGTGGCCGAGAGGAGGGTGTTTGAGTTTCCACTGTCGGGCAGAAGGCATGGAGGAGCAGGAACTTCAGAGAGGTTTGGGTGAAGTCGGGGAGACAAGGCAGGGACAAAGTGATGCCATTTTTACAAAACACTGGTATCAAGAGGCAAAAGCTCACACATCGCTTTTGTGCATTATTGTGAGAAGGTCAAATGGCAGAAACATACAGAAAGGATAAGAGAATTGAACACTTTAAAGAATTTGGTGAGAGGACAAATGATGGACATTCAGTAGAAGTGACCACTGGACACGAGACTTTAACAGCATTGGTGAGTACATCGAAGGAGACAGGAAAACCGCGTTTCTTATCCTTTCTTTTGGTATGTGAGGGAGGGGGCTGCCCAGCAGTGCTTGAAACAAGCCATCCATCAACAGTGGACAGTCTGAGTTCTGGGTTTCATTCTGCAAACACGCCTGCTGCCTCAGAATCAGGACGTCATTGGGGGAGGTGGCCCGGGCACACTGACAGCTATCGCCATGAGACACTCACTGGACTCTGCTCATAAAAGCAAACGGTGCCCACGGCTGGAGAGGAAGCGGAGCAAGCCGGTGCAACCTGCAGACGCGCTCCTTCACTCAAGTCTGGAAAGGCACACCGTATGCTGCGTGCACCCGCTACGGACACGGCTGGAACTGCTGGGAGAGCTTGGGCCCTCGGCCCCACCCCCAGCTAGGCAGGCAGCCTGGGGCACTGGGTAGCTCCCCATTTACTGCCTGACCCCCAGCCGGCCTGCTGCTCTACATTTCAGCGCAGTCCTGCTTGGAGAGACTGCTGGCTCTCCCTTTCCCTGCTGGATGCTCCCCTGAACTGGACGGGGCCAGCACTTTACTGTGTCAGACTCATGTGCCTGGCCCGGCCTGCCCCGGCTCATCTGCAGTTTACACAGGCAGGTGCGCAGTGCGGGCGGTGGGCGGGGCACTCACCTGCGCATGCACTCCAGGGCCTGGGTGAAGACCTGCGGGGCCATGCCGTGCTCGTGCTGCAGGATCAGGCACTGCTCCAGCGTCACCGACATGGCCGTGCGGTCCTTGGCGCTCTTGCAGCTGGTGAATCGGACCCCGTTAAGGCGGCGGCAGATCTGCCAGTAGGAAATGTGCTGTGCTTAAGAGGGGGCCTGCAGGAGAGCAGCTCCTCACAAGCCCGGCGGGGACACGGGGCAGGAACTCCGCACCCAGCCCCAGCCTGGCTCTGCCTCCCTCCCTACTCTGTACCCTGCTGAGCAGTAACTGAAACCAAGTCACCTACAAGACCCAGCCCCAGGGGGCCCCAGGGCTCAGGGGCTTGCATCACCCACGACTGCCTCGGCTAAGGGACACTCCTCCCAGGTCCACCCTGTAAGATTCTGAGGAGGAGAGGCTCTGGGACACACAGTGCCCAGGTGGCCTGGCACTGCTGTCACAGCCACTGTCACCCAGGGGGTGCCCAGGGCTCGGGGGGCAGTGTGCTCATCCAAGGGGCTCTGAGCCTTGCACCTCTGACTTACACGCCTCTGCCTTGGGGCTCTGCTGGGGGCAAGAGTCACAGGACTAAGGGGCGAGTGCTCGGGGCTCTGGCTGTGCCACCCTCAGACGGTGAGAAAGCTTTGCTCCACATCTGACGCTCACAAAGGCACCGTGACAGAGGCTGTCATAGCAGGCATGCGGTATGCCCACATGTTTACTACCTGCCATCCTGAGGCGGGGCCCAGCTCGAGAAAGCTGCCTGAGACCCCGAACAAGAATGCTTGAAAAGCGAGGCCTGTGAAACCTGCTGCAGCTTCTGTCACTTGGGGCTCTGCTGTCACTAAAGACTCAAAGGGCAGCCTGGGCAGACAGCGGAGGGGCCACGCCGAGCCATCGCACACGTTCCACGCGGTGAAGCCACGGAGCTCGGCACGCGGGAGGGAGGGGAAGAGACTATGCAGGGAAGGAGTACTCACTCCTCAACGTGCCACCGACAGAAAGGTCGCAGCTGCCACGGCTGGTGGCAGTCCAGGGTGAGGGCGTGCGAACAGTGACGTCCTGAAGACAGGCTCTCTGGCGGAGAAGAGCCGCCAAGCATGGGGCGGCGGAGGATGGCTGCTGCAGGGAACAGCGTGCAGCCCCGAGAGAGACTGTCACCGAGGACAGCACTGTGTGGGCGGAGCTGCTCAGGGAAGCTGAGAGCACACCCTCACCTGCCACTGGGTCCTGGGTCTCGGCAGGGCCCGGGAGGGTGGGCCAAGTTATGCTACGCCCTGTCTGTGCCGCCTCCACCCCTCTGCTAGGGCCCAGGCAGGGGAGGAGGACAGTGGGCCCCGAGTCCCAACTCAATAAAGGTCAGGCTGCTGGGGACATAAATTAAGCTTGTCCCCTCATCAGGGGCAGGTGAAGAAACTGCTCAGATACCCAGGTGCTGTGTGCAGTGTAAGTACTCGGGGAAACAAAGAAATCAGAGGGGCAGGGAGGATGAGGACTGTTTGAACCGGCTTGCAGGGCACCAGGGTCTCCCTCTGGACCTAATTACAGCTGCTGCAGGCAGTGAGCTGCAGCCGCTATCAACTGTGCACGCCCCTAAAGGTGACAGCACCAGCAGCCTGGCTGGTGAGTGCCCTAAGGGCAGACTGTCCAGTTTACCAGAATCCAGGGAGCCCTGCGGAATGAGCTCACAGGCAGCATTCAGCACCTCCGCGTCCCGCATCCTATCTGGTGACTTCTCTGGTGCCCTTAGGGAGAAATCTCCCTCCGCCTGGCTGAGACTTTGATTTGTCATTACTTCTGTTAAGCTGGCTGCAGGTGGGCTACAAGCTTCTCTTCCTCACTAGAACCCGTACCTCAGCAGCTTGCCAGAGAATGTCCACATTCTTATTCTTCCGGGCGTGGACGTTCTGACCCAGAAACCGCAGCAGCTCTGGCAGGCAGGTCTGACTGCGGGACCGAGGTAGACCTGGAGGGGCAGAGGCATCAGTGGGAGAGGTAGCCACGGCCAGGATGTGGCGCCCAAGCACGGGAGGTGCCTGAGCCCGCTGCGAAGGAGATGGTGACGTGACCAGTTTAGAGCACAGTGGGGAGGGGAGGCGTTTAGCAACGGGACAGGCTACTAGAATGGTGAGCCCTTAATTTCCATCACTGCCACATTAGCCAAAGGACAATCACTTCATCCCCTTTCAGCTCTTCTCACGGCATGGACAGTGGACTCTAAAACACTAAGAAGCTTCACGCCAAGGATGGAGGTGGGAAGTGGCAGAACAAGCGTCTTCCAGGGACAGACAACACTCGGGCCACGGGTCTTGACCACAGAGGGCCTGGAAACCTTAGGGGACCTGGAAAGCACAGCCTCCTCCAAGGGACCTCAGCCACCCCTGGAGGAACACGTGTCCCTGCTCTCCCCCGAGGCCTTCCCAGGCCGGGACGTGGTGACGTTATCCCTCACTCTCCAGCCTCAGCCTCCAGGAGCCGCCGCAGGGGCGGTTCTCCCGCCTGCCCTGCCCAGATCAGCACCAGGTGAGAATCAAAGAGAGGAAACGACCTCTCAGCCGATGTCTCGCAGCCTCCCCTGGCTACTAGTGGCCTGTGTTCCCTTCTCTAGTCCAACCAGCATGCTCTGCTGGGTGAACCTGGAAAGATAAAGTGGACCCCTTCCTCTTCCCAACTGAGCACTGCCAGTGAAAAACTTGTTTGGCCCCAAGACCCTGGGCCACAGTCCCTCCTAACAGGGCAGCCTCCTCCATTACCCAAGCTTCCGCATGTGCACAAAGCACTCACCCGGCCTTGCAGGATGCTGTGGGATTTGAAACATGCGCAGGGCGCTCAGCCCAGCCCAGCCCAGCCCAGCCCACTGTTAGCACAGACGCTCACGGTGCACTGCTTTCCCACCAATTCTAAAGCTACGGTCCTCCGCACCTTCCAAGAGGAGGCCCAGGAGGCCCGCCCAGCATGCCCCCCTCCCTCTCCGGAGCCTCGCTCCAGGGTGGACAGGTCTCCTCCAGGCAGGGCCACAGTCTCACTAACCCTCCATCCTGTCGTACTTTACACAGGGCAGGCGCTCAGTGATCCTGCTGCGCTGGACTCTGAAGCCTGTACTAGCAAGGGCCGTGCTGTGCGGCCTGGGTTCCTCCCTGAGTTCTGAGGGCCAGAGCCCGTCTGCAGCATTTTCACTGGGACACAGAGAGTCACGCACTAGTGAACATGACTTCCAGGGGATGGACACAGCAGGGGCCCTCTTGCCCCGAACACCCACCAAGCTTTTCCTAGCATTTCCTCTCCATGTGCCGTGGAACTGCACAAGCAGCTCATAGAATAAGCTTCTCTGGGTGGAGCTTGAGCCAGGCAATCTGAACAGGGGAACAGCTGCTGTGTGTGTGTGGGGGGTGGCAATAGCTCACACACGTATGCATGCAGCAGGGCAAGCAGAGCATCCAAAGTGACGAGGGGACAAGCAGGCTGCTATGGTTTGTGTCCGGATGTCCCCCCAAAGCCTCATGCAGTCATGGGGGGGAGGGGCCTCTAGAGTTCATGGCTGATTCATGGATGTGAATGCTACACTCGCCCTGGGGCGGGTAGCTTGCATGCAGTGTAAGGGAGGGAAAGAGGCTGCTTTCCACTGCTCCTCCCCTTGTTCTCTTGCTGCTTTTGCTGTTTTCTGCCATTCTGACGATTGCACTATATTGTGTGCCACTCTGCCTTGGAGCCAGCTGAGTATGGACTGAAACCTCCACAAACTGTGAGCTAAATAAACCTTTCCTTCCTTCATTCTGGGCATCCGGTATTTTGTCTCAGCAATAAGAGAAAAGTAACCAAGACACAGGTGAACCCACTGCAAGCAGGGGAATACTTACAATCCTCAGGTAAAACTTCCTTAAACTGTTCGAAGTAGGAATTTAACCGCACCAAGCTCTCCACGTTGATGACTTCTTGTAAAGACGTATCCCCAAACCTTGGGAGGGTAAGGAGACACTGTTAGTCAACTCGTGCCACTTTCCTGATACACAGAGTTGCAGGAATGCTAATAATGGCGATTCTTTAAGACACTTATCATGCATGTCTCATGTTAAGCACCTTTCCCCTCCTAAGCATGATGCCACCTCTACAGTGCGGGGACCAGCCTAAATGTACTTTGTGGGCAGCAGCCACGCAGAACTGCAGGTGCGCCTAAGGCATCCTCGGAGTGTGGTGCGTGCCAGACCCAAAGCCTGAGAGGCTTGCGCGGCGCGGCACAGGAACTCCAGCACGCTGCCCCTCAGCTCGGAGTCCCAGTGTCTTCCCATCCCCAAGGTACTGACAGAGGCGACGGCACTGGGCTGTGAAGACTGAGGACACCGTCCTGGACTCAAATCTGAAGTCGCCCTGTCTGCTGAAGAGACACCCGTGGCCACCATCCCCCTAGGCCGCCCGAGGCCCCGACTCCTCCTCGAAGGTTGCAATCAGCGTGTGGCAAGTGTCTGAGGGAGGAGCTGCGGACGTCGCCCGCAAGGAAGGTGGTCACTAAACGAGGCCGACTCTCCAGGCCTCCACTTTCCGGCTGCGTGACTCCCTCAGCAACAGCCCCTTTCTGTCATTGTTTTGTGGTGCTGGGCATTGAACCAGGGCCCTGAACATGCCCGGCAAGTGCTCTGACACCGAGCTACCCCCTGAGCCTTGTGATTTCATTTTACTCTGAGACAGGGTCTTACTAAGTTACCCAGGCTGGCCGGGGATACAGCTCAGTGACACGGCCTGCCTGGAAAGTGTGAGGTCCTCAGTTTGATTCCCAGCACCAAAAAAAAAGAAAAATTCTAAGTTACTCAGGCTGAGCTTCATCTCTCAATCCTCTTGCCTCAGCCTCCTGAGCAGCTGGGGTTACAGATGTCTGCTGTCATGCCCAGCTGGCACTGGCATCTTTATGGTCCTGTGATGTCCCTCAGAGGGCAGGACTCACTCTCCCTCTGGGCACTTGTTCCCTTAGGGACCAACACTGTCCTGGGCTGATGGCTTCTCCTCTACAGGCTCTGCCCAGGAAACGCAGCTTCCTGCATGCTAGGAGCAGACAAACCAGCCTTCTCCCACTGTGCTCCTCCTCTGCTGCTCTCCGCACTGCCTCACGGCACGCAGGAAGGGTTCTCCTGTACTCGTGCAAGGCTCTTACAAGCTGCACACATGCAACTCACTCCTTCCATGCCGCCCTACATGTGTGAGCACACAGGCACCCACACCCCACACATATGCCCCCCCCCCCGTGCACACAACACGACTCCTCTCGATGCATGCCAAGGGATCCTGGGGGAGCTGACACGGCCCAAGCTTTTAGGGTCAGGCCTGGCTCTTGGTTGGTCCCAGGAGGCCGTGCTGACTTGCCTGCTAACCCCTGCCCAGATCTTGGTGCCCCAGGCCCATGGGCTTCTCCCAGTGCACGCCCCTGCTCAGCCTTCTTGGCCCGAGACACCAGGCTCTCCTCCTCTCCCATCCAGCTCATTCCTACTCCTACCCCAAAACCCACTTTAGGAGCTGAGCATGTAGCTCAGTGCTAGACTGTTTACCTACCATGTGTGAGCACTTAGGTTTAAGCCTCAGCACCACAAAGACAATAAAATATATAACCCCCTTCACTCACCACCTATGCCCTCCTTCACAGACCCTCTCAGGCCACACTGGGTCCCCTACTCAGAACCCTGACTCTCCACGTTTCCCTCCATCGCAACACCCATCTCCCGCTCTCCCACCAGCCCGAGTCTCTGAGAATTGAGACTGCGTCTGGGGCATTTTTGTGCAGTCATCAGTGCCGGGCAGATGGCTATGCTGGACAACCTCCAGGAAGTAGGAAAACAGAGCCTGCCCAGCGCAGGACCTAGACAGGGTGGACAAGCACATCCCTGTAGTCCCCAAGGCCGCGCGGCCCCAGAGACGCAGGCTCAGGCGCACGCACCTCTCGGCCAGGGTCTGCTGCTCGTTGATGCCCACGTTGAAGAGGACGGGCTGCACGCGCAGCAGCATGCCGCTCTGGATCTCCCGGGGCAGGGCGTCGAAGAGCGGGCCTGGCAGGGGGATCCGCACGTTAAACCCATCACTGGAGGAGAGCGAGACAGGAAGGGCAGCGTGAGCCCAGATACTGACAGCAGGGTGGGCTAAGGCCCGAGCCCCAGGGCAGCCCTTGGGTTCTGTGACATCCAAACCCCAGGTGGACCTTTATGCGGGTGGAATTACATAGGGGACTGCAGCCAGTGTTCTTATGTTCTTAACAATGAAACAGAGTGAAAATAAAACAGAAGCATGCACCCCGTGAGACAGACATAAATGAAGAGCACTGCTCCGGTGCAGATTTTTAGGAAAACATTTCTACCGATTGCCTGTGATGACAGGCAGCATGTCCGCTGATGCATTGGAAGTGGCCTGCGTGACTTTAAAGGTCACGTTCCTCAAGTCCATGATTCCAAGGCTCATGTCCTCCAGCATGGCCAGCTCCTCACCTGGGCAGAGAGAGGGAAGGAGGCCATCTGTCAGGCTGCGGGGCTCACTCTTCTCCCCATGAATGGTGCAGACTGGAGGGGTGCAGGTATGAACGGGCTCTGGAGCCCCCAAACACTGCTGTCACCCCACATCCACATTACAGAGGCCACTGTTGGAAAGAGGTGTCAGCCTGCTCAGACCTGCGCCAAGCACCGAACCAACCGTGGGACGGATACAGAAATGCACAGGGCACAGAAAGCAATGCCAGCTCTTCCAGACTGAGATGAGAAACCACGGAGCAGCTCCGCTGTAGTCACAACCCTCCGCCACACAGGGCTGGACATCAGCTCTATGTCTGAGAACAGCAAGCTCACAAATACCTTCAGCAATGACTCACAAGAAACAAACAGGAGCAAGGCTGTGGCGAAGACAGCCTCTCCAGAGGGTGGTCTGGAAATGCTGTTACATTCTAAAGCACTGCCCCCTTTGACCTGGCGACTCTTCCTCCCATAACGTAATGGCTGCAGGACAAGGTCAGGAGAGGCTCGCGAGGACCCTCTATGTACAGGGTCACTGAACAAAAAGTTCTGTTAAGATCCATGCAGAAACAACCCGAATGCCTTACAGGAAATACCTGGTTAAACAATCACCAACCCAGCTCCACTAGAAAGCTCCTCAAGATATGCAGCAAAAACCAGCAGCCACACTGACCAAGGGCCGCATGTGCGCCGCGCACGGCTCCATCTGGGTCCTGCATTCACTTCAGTATCAGGGAGGGGAGGCTGGGGTTGGGCTCTCACCATAGGTGCTCAGCAGGCTCTCAAACTGGGCCAGCAGCCCGATGGTGTAAAGCTGCCGCAGGAAGCCGTCGTCGTGCAGGCAGTTCCGCAGCTTGATGATGAAGCCGCAGATGAGAGCTGTCAGCTGTGGGGCAGGGCGAGAGTGTGGGCAGTGGCGGGCAGCTCACGGCCTCGTCCCTGAGTTTCTGCTGCTTAGAGGGGGGCAGCAGCCCCTCTTGCACCTGGGATATGGCATGGGACAGGACAGTAGGGGACGCTCTGGCATGGGAGCCACAGTGGGCAGAGGCCATGGGATGGACAGGGGACACTCCGGGCTTGCCATGCTGTCACTCCAGAAGGTGGGCTTGGTTTGGGACCAGCTTCCGACCTGACCTGTGCTAGTCCTAGGCTAGAACCTTCTGGAAGCCTAGAGTAACTCCCCACAGTAAAGGGCTGTCCACTCAGGCTCCCCACCACCCCTGGCTAAAGACTAAGCTAGTCACAGTAGCGGGTGTGCTGTGAGACGGAACAGGCCGCCAGGCTAGAGCTGGGGACTGCAGAGGATCAGCTCAGCCTGGTAGCGCTATTTGCTTTGCTGACTCTATTACTGGCATCTTCTAACTTGTGACGTTTAACTCTTCACTAAAAGATAACAGAAACCATCAAAACGGAGTTCTGCACTGAGCCACAGAACAAAAGTGCCTGCTGTGCCTCTGACAAAGGTGGCCAAGGGGCCTTTGTGTGCACTGCCTCCCCAGGGCAGTGCAAAGCCTGTCCGTGGCAGCTCTTCAGGGGAAATGAATTTCTAGCCACCGCTGGCCCCCATTTGAAATCTAGCTTCTCTATGAGGTAAGCTTAAAAATAACAGGCAGGAGGCGAAATGGCCACCTGTGTTTGCACAAGTGAAGGGAGAGGGCGAGGGGCTCCCAGCCTGTTCCTCCTGAGGTAGGGGGCGTCCATGGCCACCCTCGCGGTCCTCCAGGGGCTTACGGTTTGGCAGAAGACCACGTCGCGGCGGTACTGCAGGCTCAGGTAGGAGGCTATGGTGGGGGCGCTGTCCTGCATGAGCAGGAAGACCATGGCCTTCTTGGCCTTGTCGCTCATCATGGCCACGCAGTCGGTGAGGGTGGTCAGCAGTGGGTAGAGGGCCTCGCTCCATTCACCTGGGCACGAGCGAGGGAGTCATTGCGATTAGGAAGGAAGGGTTTAGGAATGAGGTTCTGTTAAGTCTGCAGGTCACCTGTCGCCCAGCACCCTCGTCCTCCCCTCCCCTCCCCCGTCTGTGCCTTCTGACCCTGCCTGACCCACCCTCTGCCCCAGAACTGGCCCCAAGTCCGCTAAGAGCCAACCCTGGCTCTGCTCCGGCCACAGTCTCTCCATTAACGTCCAACACGAGCTGTACTTCGGTGCCTCCAGCACACAGCCGGTCCCCTGACACACGGGGATGCCCACCTCCATACTCAGTACCCTGCCCATTCAGGAAGACAGCACAAAGCTCTGAAACCCATGACAAGGCCAGACAAGGGTTCTTTTGGCAGAGGTCAATCGCCTTCCAAGGCACAAGGCTCCTCAACCAGCACAGAGAAGGGCCCCCCGAGAGGTCCTCTGCTACCTCACTTCTCCTGACCCGGCAGGAAGCAGAGACCTTGGCTTTCAGGGGCGAAAGACCCACTCTGCCACCGCTGGCCTTGTGCACCACTGTGTTAATTTCTCACTTTCCACGCTGTCCGCGTGTCCCCACCCTCTGCTCTCCCTGTCCAGTGCCAGCACGCTGCCCGGTGCCAGCTATTTCTAGCTTACTTTTCTTTTAGAAATATAAGAAAATTTGGACCTTGTACCAAAACAACTTTTCAAAAATAAAACCTCAGGGGAGAGAATCAGGGTGAGGGGTATGTTTGACTTTGGCTCTTTTCCCCTTTCTATTTAGAAGGCATTAAAAAAGGGAAGCCATGCCCTCATTCTTTATATTTTTAACAGGTTACTGAGCCCAGAAATAGGCATTTGCTCACCCGTGCTTGGGAGCACACCACCCCAAGCCCGCCTCCAGGCTGGGGTGACATCCAGCAGCACACAGCCTCAGGATGGGTGTGAGTCACAGCAGGCCCTGTGCCACGGCACCACGCCGCAGAGGGTGGCCGAGGAGCGAGGAGAGCCTGGGCTCTGCTCCCACGACCGTCCAGTTAGTGCCTGGCTGGGAAATCAACCTAGGGGAGCGCCCGGGATGGGCAGAGCGAAGTGGGAAGGGAAGCGCCCACACGCAGGGTCTGGTTCACGTGGATTAAGTACATGTCACAGCTCAAGGGCTGGAAATGATCTAACGGGATACCCGGGCACACCGTATGCAGACAAGGATTTGCATCCGTAATGGAAAAAAGCAGGCTTAAATTTAGAAAGTCTACAGCAGAAAGGTCTTAGCAAATAAGTCATGGTGACAAAGAACACTGGACTGAGACGTGGAAAATGTGAGCCCAGGGCCGGTGCCCTCAAGCAAGGGCCTCAGCCCCTCAGCCACAGGGGGCCTTGGCGGGAGACGAGCACAGTGCTAAGCAAGAGGCTGACGTTTCTGTGCCCCTAAAATTCTCACGTTTCTGTTTCATCAGAGAACTCCGCTGAATGCCTGACAATTACATTCAGCACCTATCAAAGTGGCCAAGAGGGCTCGGGGTCTTGCGAGTGGAACAGTCTGGGGAAGGGCAGGCCAGGCAGTCCCTCACGCTACCCTTCACGAAGAAGTAAATGCACTTGGAGCACACACTGCCAACTTTATTTGGCTTTTCCAGTTAACACGCATATACAAGGAGTATGTAAATCTCAGGTTACTTAACCGGAAAATGATCAGAATGTGCGCCTGCCGCAGCCTTACTGAGCTTGGCCAAGCCTTTCCATACAACTTGTTCACTCTGCCCACTTTTCTATACACAAAATTTGTGTCAAAATGGCTTTGTTTTGGTACATCAGAAAAAAGAACAACAACAAAACTGGAGTACAGAAGAATGGCTGTGAGGACGCGATGTCCTGGGGAAGGTGGGAGGGAGACTGGGTGATGTCTGCCCAGACAGGGGCTTGCAGTCCCACAGGGCAGCGGCCACTGTCTACCGCTGCCTTCAGCTATTTTAATTTTCTGTCCTCCCTGAACCCACAGACAAGAAACAGCACCAGTGAGGTTGGGCCTCCCAGACACACACGGACAACTGCATTTGTACTTGTCTGGCTGACTCTAAGCTCCGTGCTATTTCTGCTTCTGCTGGGGTGGAAAAGTAATGCATTTGTCCAATCTGAGGAGAAACTCATAATAAAAAATATTTCAAATACGAAAATACGATTTATACCTAGGCCCTAAGGTATCTGGGACACTGGTGCTGGTGAAGCTTTACAATCTGCTTCCTTTGGTGGGAGAGTCTTCTTATTAAAAACAATCAACTCAACTAAGCAATGTCCCAAGGAATGCAGGTGCTCTGCTCTTTGGGACAAGCTCCTTACCTAGTTGCCGGCCTGTAACACTTGCTGACTAGTGGTCAACTCACGGATCACACTACTTTAGGTAACTGACAAGCTGGCTCCAAGTGGGGTTCCGGAGTCTCTGCCAGGAGCCACTGTGGGAATCACAGTGCTGTGCGAGCAGACCTGAGGGAACGGCTCGGAGAATCCTCCCATGGCCAGTTTGCCATACTCCAGACAGAAGGCAGGTGTCCCACCCACCACCTTACATGTCTACCCTCTCTGCAATATGCAGTCATCAAACTGATCACGTAGCTGATTTTTGGAGTTTAAGAAAAACCAAACAAGCCGTATTATTTGGGGGTACATGCGCACTCTGGGAGAACCACAAGCCATATCCAGGAAGCTCATTATGAACTAGATCAAGGGTTGGCACACATTTTCTGCAAAGGGTAAGACGGTAAACATCTCTGTCTCTGTCACAAGTAACTCTGGTACCGCCACACAAAGGCAGTCACCCAGAATACGTGAGCAGGCGGGCATGACTGGTTGCCCATAAAATAGTATTTGCAAGAGCAGGCTGAGGACACGATCTAGCTCAGCACTGCGGTTCGCCAACCCCTGAACTAGAACCATAAACTTTGGATTCTACATGCAAATGCGGGAAGGAAATTCCACTTCTGATTGCCACTGAGGCCCACTGCCATGTGTGGTAAGCACTGCAGAGCTCCGAGACTCTGAGAGATGTTACATGATTACAAATGTCCCGGACTTCTGGTGGACCCTTATGATTTGACCGTCTTCAGGGCTTTGCTCACAGGTTCAGGTTAACGCACAAATGTGCAGGTCACCCACTCGAGGAAGCCCAACACACTCATGAACGCAAGTCGTCTGGAAAGGTTTTAGGATGTAAGACGGAGAGAGATGGAGAGAGAGAGAGAGAATAAAAACGAAAGAAAAACAAAACCAAACTACATGGTATTCTGCTTTAGGCCACAATCCCGTTAGCCCAAACGGTCCCTCACCAAGCCTCACAACGAAGATGTCCTAAACGATCTCCCCAACTGTGGGAACAGAAGATCATCTTGGCTAATTTAGCTACAAACACTACCCAAGTATTACCAAGACATCAGCAGCGCCTGGAACAGAATCACGTACCTGGGCTGGACTCTTCAGGAGGGGGGCTGCAATCTGCACAGAAATGGAGGGCAACAGGGATGATTAAGGAGCAGACACAGATCAAACATAGCAATCACGCTTACAGCAGCTGCAGCAGCAGCTTGCAGTAAGGCATAACGGGGGCCTCTTTCCCCGAAGGTTCACGAGGCTGCCCCGAGGCGGCAGTCCTCTCTGTAGTGTGCACAACACTGACTTGTCAGCATTGACATTCATGTTGCTAATATTTCAACATAAAATGTTCTCTAGACGAGTGATCCAACACATTGTGATGTGATACATGCCACACACAAAAGCGCCCACATCAATGACATGGGAGTGATGGAGCCCCACGTTAGCTCACGACATCCAATGAGAGAGGCTGACCAGCAAACCCAGCATTCCCCAGTGGGAGCCGTGGCCCTGATCTACTGGGTAGGTCTGGGTTCAAGATGGACCACCGTGACTGTGATGGTAAGGCCCACTAAAGAACCCTAGGCCAGTCTTTGTGACTTAACTAAATGCAGAAGTTGTATGGCCTCGGGGAGGTCTCCAGGTAGGATTCCCTTCCAGGTCTTCAAAGAATACATTTCACTTCTGCTTAGCTACAACTGGGCTGCTCATTTCAATTCACATTTCCCATAAAAACTTTAAAATTCCTAGTTAACTGGTGTGCCATCTAAGCCACAAGCCTGAGAAGGAATCACAGGGTAAACATTTATGTCACATTAGAGTTGAGCCTTTCAGTTAAGGAAAGTCTTCAGGGTACTGAAATAGGTGGTTCTGGATTCCCAAGACCAGCCAGAACCAGCTTCAGGGAGCCGTTTAGAGCCTGGATTGGGATGAAGCGGGCGGCAAGAGGTCCTCACTCTCTAGTCATATTTGGATGTGGCCTAGAGGAACACGAAGTGCAAGGTGAAGGTGCAGAGTTGGACCTCTCTGTCAGAACCCAAGTATCCTGGGACCACCTAGCTAACACAGAGAGGAGCCTGGCTGGGAGGGGTGAGCTGGGAATGATTCTAAGCCTCTGTCCTGCTAGTCAGAGTCCTCAGGGCTTGGAGAAATACATGCCTGCCTCCTGGAACCCCTCCTCCAGGACTCCACGTCTATGAATGGGGAGCAACGTTTAGGCGCCTCTGTGCTGGGAGCTTCCAGTGACCCCAAAGAGCAGGGTTGGGACCACTTCTGTGGCTTCATCTGGGATGAAGTCCACTTGCTAAATTCATTTTCCAACCAAAGAGAAGAGAGAAGAGGTTGCTCTGGTACTCCTGGACCAGGAGCTCCGAACTTGTCTTGGGTCATGGGGTCCTTTGAGATGTGATGGGTTGTGGACTTTCTCTCCGTGCCTACGCAAATTTCAGCCTGACCTTAGGGGCACCCGAACGTGGAGTGCATCCACAGACACCAGGTTAACAGACCCTGGGGTGGAGTCTGAATGCCTCTTGGGTGTGAGAATATAAAGAACACTATTGTGAAGAAGGCAGTAGAAGCCACCAAGCCTTGGTGGCGGTGGTGTGTACTGAGCAGGGGGTCCCGGGAGGGTGTGAGGCACTGGTGGACAAACAGAGGGAAGAGCAGCCTGGGGGTCTCTGCTGGCAGCGTGGGGGTCTCAGTGTCCCCCTTGGGTCTTGGCCCCAGCTGGCCTCCCCCAAATTCTCAGGACAGTGAGCCAGAAAGCAGGAAAGCCAAAGACCTGGACAGACAGAGAAGTGATGAGGCTTTCAGGGTCACAGAGTTGTGCTCATTTAATAAGTAAGTCGGTGTGAACATGACCTGCCATGTGGCCAAGATGACTGCTCCCTACCGGGGACACAATGGAAGTCCCCGTGGAGCCATGCTCTAGCATGCGGACAAGTGAGTCAGCGAAACAGCTCCTGGGCAGTTCTTCCCGGTCCTCCTGATCACAGTGGGGCCGAAGGGCTTCCCGGCCATGCCAGCGATGTCTAAGCTAGGGACAATGCACAGTTCCTTAGTGGCGTGTGGCCTCTCAGGCTTCTGAGTACTGATCAGCAGTGAGGCTCCCTCATGCACACTTCATGCGCCACTACTACCACAGGGCTGATGCCAGCGGCACACAGATTGTGAGTCAGGCCCTAAATAACACAAATAAATGGCACAACTGTGACACTCGATTTGAATGGGTCTATATTTAAACAACACGAGATGTGCCTCGAAGAAAATGACACGTAAGTTATGGATATGCAGCACATCTGAATACACAAACTAGCTCCTGAATTTAAAAAAAAAAATCAATAACTTACTTTTTATAACTTTAGAAAAAAAATGATAAGATATATCTATACATATATATCTCTGAGCTATGCCCCCAGCCCCTACAAACGTATCAAATATTAAAGAGAAATAAACTTTCAGAAAACTTTAAAAAGAAACAACTTACATTAAAAAGAAAAACAACAAAAAGAAAAGGAGAACACCAGAGACAAGCAGCTCCGAGAACTAGCCACAGTGTGGAGACGTTACACGGATGACGTGCAGACCACAGAAACAGGCGCGGTGGGACACCGCCCGGGAAACAGACTGCAGGCGCTCCCGAGGCCACGACCACCTCACACATGGAAGAAGGGTCTGCCGAGAGGCTCTGACACAGGAGCACAATTCTGCTGCGGATGGGAGCTGCCCAGCTGACCCTGGTGCATCCTGGCCTTACTGAACATGGCTCACAGCTCCCCAAGGAGAACAGAAACCCCCTCCAGCTCCTACAGGAAAAGGCAGGTGGCACTTGAGAGGCCAGGACCCAGGACCCACTTGTTTAGAAAGCACGCAGTCCCCAGCTCCAAAGCTACTGCAGGGCAGGGTGTGAGCGTGCCCTGAATCTCCGCGAAGAGAAGGCTGCAGAGAAGCTGTTTCGTGGCATGGTCCTACACCTCCTGAAGGCCTCCCATGAAGGGTGGTGCTGGACAGAAGAAACACAGTCCTCCTGAGGTCCAGGTATCTGACTGAGGTACAAACCTCCAAGCAACAAGGCTGCTATGGGTAAGAACATGCCCGGCTAATGACAACCAACTTTGGGCAAGTCTGCAGGGCCTGCGCATATCCCTCACCCAGCATGGTCGCTGCAAGACTCACCTTCCCCTCATCCCACCAGTTCCTAATGCAAAGAGCACCACACTGGAAGATGTGCATCCCGGCCTCCTTTGGGTTCTCAGGTTGGTTCACAAACCTGAAAAGCCTAGGAGCCCTGCCAGTACTGCCTCAGCAATGTGACCCCGGAGGGCCTGAAAGTCTGCCCTTGGCGGAGATAGAGAGTCACACATGGGCTCCAGGTGCACATGGGACGGGGTGGGGGGGCTTCCACCCTCCTGCCCCTGCTCCATGCCCGGGGTCAGCCTCACTCGGCCTGCTGGCCCTCCCTGCAGTCTGCATGGAGTCAGAGACACAGACGAACGGATGTGACACAGCACAAGGTGGAGGCAGCGTGGGGAGTGTAGATGCATACGCACGTGTGCTCGGGTGAGGATGGCATGCAGCGGTGGGCATGGAGGAAGGGCATGGCGAGGAGGGGGCATCGCAGAAGGGGTCTTCCGGTCTGATCCAGTAGGCGTGGCTGTCGCGGTTACCTTTCTTGCTGGTGCAGCTGCCCGCACAGGGAAAGACGTCGTCACAGCCCTCGCCGTGCAGACGCTCCTTCTGCAGCAGCTTGTCCACCCGCTGGATGATGCACTCCAGGCTCTTGTCCACGTTCAGCCACACTTTCTCCTTCCGAAGGGACAGGGCGCGGGTGGATCAGCTCTCTCGGTGGGAAACCAGGACAGAACACAAACCAAGCCCTCCTCTCACCCCCACCCGAGGCTGCCTGCTCATTAAAGCAGCACAAGAAGAGATTCCTAATTCCCATCAAAGTTGTACTGGCTTTCTAATGACCAGTGATGTCCTACGGTCACTGCTGCAGAAGTCTGAGATGTCTGCTGCTAACTCTGGAGGACAGACAGCCTTCAGTGCCACCAGAAGGGTCTCGGGGCATTAAGAGCCGGTCTCTTGTCTCCCTGCTCGCTGCAGACTGCCTTTGGCCCCCACACAGACCACACCAAGGGCCTCTTAGCTGGGAGGGAATGGAAACAGCTGGCCAATAGGAGGGGGAGCTGGAGGAGGGGTTCTGGGAGCAACCTGTACAAACCCGCACAGCCCCCAGACGGCAGGGCTGCAGGACCACTGCGCTGCCAGAGCAATGCCTCTCGGCAGGAGCCTCAGCGAAGGACAGGAAGAAGCTGTTCGACGCTTCCCTCCAGAGATGCAGACACTCTCTCAGGGCTCATGGTGTGAGGAACAGCAATGTGACAGACACAGTGCCCAAGGCAGCAGCTCCAGCCCGAGCTCCCCAATCTCCAAAAATGCATACAACCCCTGCACTGAGGAGAGGCCGGGCTGGTCGCAGGCAGCCAGGGACGCGAGGGCACAGCTGGCAGGAGGAGCAGAGAAGGCTCCAGCATGGCAGGGCCCAGGGAGAAAACCACCTCCTTGCCAAGCAGGGTGGCAGCCGGTCCCGCCCCGCACCGTCCTGCTCCCCATTCGCACACAATGGCTCAGTCTTCTTCCCTCAGCAGGTGGCCCAAGCTCCACCTGGGAAGGAAGCCTGGACCTTGTGCAACCTCTTAGGACTCAACCCTTCAGGCAGCCCATGGGGCAGAGGCCGGCAGCAGGCCCTGTAGTTCTCGCCCCCGCCCCCAGTGATGGCAGGACAGCTGCAGACAGAAGACTCACCCACTCCTCCTCATGCCAGTCCACCTGCAGGGAAGATCGGCTGTTCCTCCCCGTCCACCTGGCCATGAGGGTATCCTGGTCGTTCCGAAGCATCACCTGCTCCTCCTCAGTCGAGGTGGGGGAGGCCTTGGAGGCGATGTAGTCAGGCCGCGCAGCATTCAGCCCATGGATGGAGTTGGCCAGTAACTTGCAGTCGCAGACAGTGACCAACTGCCGGGTCTACCGGAACACAGATCAGAGCTGCTGGGCCTGCCTTCTCTTGCAGCAGGAGATGGCTGGGGCCCGGCAATTCCGTCTACTCCCTAGTCTGTGGTGCCAAGCAGCTAGAGAGCTGCATCCTCCAGCACGTGTGAGAGCAAAGGCTCTACGTGATCGGCTAGGGCTGAGTCCTAGCAACAACTTCCCACCACACTGGAGAATGCAAGAAAACATTCTTGGACCCCAGCTTGCCCTTGACCCTGCTTGTTACGGTGGATCTTCCTTCCCAGTCTTGTTGCTGTACAAACACATACGAAGGATACAACACACTAATCAGCAACAGCCGGTCACACCCACCAAAGTGTAGGTGAGGATGTGAGACCGGAATCCATGTGTGTATGTGTTTGTCAGGGAGAGAGCAAGAGAGAATGAGAAAAATATCATTCTTCACAAAGGTCTGATATATCCACTCCCTCTGTATGGAGCAAGACTGATCAGGACTGAGTTATGATTCATCAGAACTGGTTTGCTGACTACACACACACTGGTAAGGTTATATGGATCTTTTCTTATGCCTATGTAAGTTTCTTTTTTTTTTTGTCTTTTTGAGAAAGGGTCTCGCTATGAGCTCACTTTGTAGCCCAGGCTGGTCTTGAACTCGCAACGATCCTCCTGCCTCAGCCTCCCAGGTGCTGGAATTACAGGCGTGTGCCATCACATCCGGCCGTAAGTTTCTTTTTTAAAAATTCAACCACAACAGAAATGTGGCCCCCCAAAAAGTGCTGATTAGGCCATCACTAAGAAAACTGTGGCCTATCCCGGCCCAGCAAAGCAAGCCAGGGACTTGCTGAGAACACATCTGCATAAAGCAGCACCTGACAGGTAGGAGGCTCTGCCCGGGCTCATCCAGCTCTGAGACCACACGAAAATAAACTACCACACCTCCCTGGGCTTTGGAGGAAGTGGACCGAAAGAGACCTTCAAGGTCATCCCAATGTCACTCTGAGGACAGCTCTGGGGACACCTGGGCTGCCCTCCGGTGTCCAGTAGCTCCCAGAAACCCAAAGGAACCCCCAGCCCACATGCCGCACAGTGCCCCCCCTACCTTGTCTGCCAAGATGGCCAGAGTCCTCTCGAGGCCAGTGGCCGACCTGTCCTTGGCTGCCCTTGAGAGCCGCTCCGCATAGTAGCTAACTTGGGTTTTGAGGGTGTTGATCTGGGCAATGATCTCCTTGGCTCTGACGATGTCCTGTGGTATGTAGATGATGGACTGGCAGCTAGACGACGTACTGAAAAGGACAAGAACAGGTCGAAGGGTCCTCTCGAATCTGAAGAGGACGGCAGCAGCAACCCAACCCCGGCCCACAGCCAGCCCTAAAACAGAGAATTCTTTGTTTTCTGGGCTAGTCCAGCTGTGGGTAGGCAGAAGGAAACCCTGGCTGATCCTTCTTATCTACATGGTAGAAGCATAAAATATTAAACCAGGAGGAGGTCTTTTATCTCCGTATGTGTCTGCATTTTTACCACGTACACGTGTGTAGACACTGAAATGTCATCCCCAATAATTTCCCAAATGCTTAAGATGTTCTAAGAACTTCTTCTATCAACGTAAAAGCAACTCTTTAGCTACGTGGGGTCGGCTTACATCAGAAGAGGTCAAATTATCCCACTGAAGGGAAAGACTATATGGGTCCTAGACTTTGCCAAAACAATACAAAATAAAACAAAGAAAATCCACAAAATCTGCTTTTTCACTTGACCCATCGGAACTTCAAGCTTTCTGAGAACAGACCCCCAGCTCTCCCTTGTGTGTGCGACCCTGGTGAGTCTCCAGGACGCTGGCAGCCTCTTCTCTCCCCCGTGCCAGGGTTTTCCTCCTTTGAAAACTAACACTGCACCACAGGAAGAGGGATGGAGAAGGCGCTGCCAGTGGCAAGACCCTCACACCTCGTGGCTTTGAAAGCCTGGCTCGTCCTGCATCCCGCCGCCTCTCAGGGCACCGCTCCACACTCTTGGCCGTGTGGAGCTGGCCTGGCGTATGGGGCCCTCCTCAGTGGCAATGACAAACCGCATGTCTTTTAGCTCAGATCCCAGTCATTTCAGTGTTGTAAGTTAGTTTCGGGACTATCTGAGGAGGCCAAGGAAGGCAAGAGGTACAAACTGCCAACTACCAATGCAGAGGTCTCCCAGGGCCCGGGGCCGTAAGTTCTGCATGGAATTGGACCCCTCCCCTCTTGGCAAGAGGGGCCCTCAGTCGCACCTAAAAAGCCACGCTTTGAGTTCTGGGGACAAAGGAGAAGGTGGAAGACAGAGCGCCCTCAGCACACTCTCCATCACGCCCCTTGGAAATGAGAGTCAGCTGGCCCTTCCCAGGGAAACATGGAAGAGCAGGTCACCAGGAAGCTGCCACTGCCCCTTCTGCTGCTGGACCACAGGGCAAGCATGCAAACAACACAGACCAAAGCACCCAGGAGGCAACAGCACCACCACAAGCCCACACAACAGAAAACGAAGGGTTTGCCAGAAGCCCATGCAGCAGACAGCAACCGAGCCCACACAGCACCAGGAGTCACTCCGCAGCGCCAGGCGCACGCCACTGCTTTCCAAGCTGCAATCCCTCTTCCAGATGAATAGCAGCCATCCAAGACAATTTAGTCTTGAAAATACATCTCAAGAAAGAAACGTTTAAAAAGCTGTTCTCCCCACACCCTCAATATGAAATCTGTACTGTACATAGGCCTCCTGTGTATGTGGTGGTGTATTCTTCGACCCATACATATCCACCCCAAGTCTGGGAGGAAAACACCCCCAGCCCCCTGCGCTCTGACAAGTCATGTCCTGATAAAAGCCCCTGGGACAGAGGCGCTGGAAGTGTGTGGGCGGGTCAGGAGTGCCTGGGAGGGAGTGCCCGCATGCGCTCCGTCCCTGGCTCCGCAGACAGTGGCCACAGGAAGGAGGGGCCCTGGGTGCAGAGGTCCTGAAGTTTTGCAACACCAAGCCTCCCCCCCAAGCCCAAACTTTGGGGAGGGGCCGCTAGGTGCTACTAAGTGCCCTGGGCTGCCAGCTCTTGCTGGGACAGCATGGGGGTGGCCCCACTGAGGCAGACCTACACAGAGCAGCGGTGGTGTCGGACTGGAAGGCGCCAGGAGTGTGCGGTGCGGTGTTCGGGGAGGGCTGGAGGTGGATGCGTGGACAGGAAGACCGGGACTGCCTCTGCAGGGCCTGGACTGCTGAGAAGCTGGGTCCCACAGTGAACAGTGACGGGGGCACTGGGCGCTCTGACTGAGACTTCGTACTCACAGCCGGCAGGCAGGAAAGCTCCTGGCTTGTCTCAGGAATGTCCTGTGTCTGGGGATGCTGGGGTGGGGTTACTGGGCCCGGGCTGGGCTCTGAAAGATCTCACCTCCTCAGTTAAGAGGAAACCTAAAGAACTTTCCAGAGAAGGTTTACCTAAGACCCCTGGGGTGGGACTTAGCGAGGACTGTGAGGCGCTTGGCTGTGTCCCACCACTCCTTCCCGTCTCTCAGATCCAAGCCCAAGTCCTTCACTCGTGCTGCTGAGGGCAAGGCCAGGCCTTCGATGGGGCCCAGGCAGAGGAAGTGAGAGGGAGCCTGAGGCGCCCCTTCCACAGAGGCTGTGGGTCCCCAGGGGAGGCAGGAACAGCGGCAGCCCTCCCCAGGCTCTTCCGCAGCCTGAGGGCAACAGCACTGGGCCCAGCCTCAGCGTCAGTCAGTGCAGCAATGAATGCGGCCAGGCTGGCCAGGAGAGCAGCAGACCGCAGACTGGCTATTCATTCTCAAAGAACATTGCAGTTGGAAGGGGGAGCTGTCTACAAGGCGGGGAGCTCAGAGCCACTTGGGCCCTGGGGCGCGGCGCCCCCAGGCAGGCTAGGACAGCGTGAGAGCGAGACCCGACAGACACTCTCTGCACAGACAGAAAACTCACCAACACTCTTCAAAACTGCTAAAGAAAGAACCGAAATGAAGTATTAGCGGTCAGCAGATACAAATGCAAAACAAAAGCTTTAAAAAGCCGAGCGACTTTTCGTCAGGACACTTCAGGTTACTTGCTGAGGCCCCAACAGTGGGAGGACTAGTTAGGAGCCCCACGGCTTCTGCGGTACAACAACCTCAGTGGCCTGCACTTGGGGCCCAGGAGACGCCCCACCGGGGGCCAGGTGCACCTGCGCTGGAAGGAAAGCTCGACTGGAGAAAACCTGGTGTGCAAGGGATTTTGACATTCATGGGAAACTAAGTAAACTGTGTGCAGATCTGAACTGCACTGAACAGCGTTTTGGGAAATGAAAAGTTCTGAAGTTCACACGCAGACTCAGCAGGTGTCATTACTCCAACCTCCCTGGGACAAGGACAGCCAGGTGGCCGCTCTCGGCTGGCCTCGCAGAGGCAGTGAGCTTTCCCCAGCAGGGCCCACACACCGCCTCAGGTCACACACGCACACTCCAACGGCCACATGCAACGGTGCACAGACACGCTTTCTGCCGGCTGCGCAGGGCTGCGGTGGCCCGGAAAGCTGCGGCCTGTGCCTATTGCCGAGGGACTCCTGGGGATAGGGAATACTGAGGCAGGTCTGGTTCCCTCTCTGTCTGCAGAGAGCAGTGCCCTTGGCGGGGAGGATCACGGCCAAGCAGCCTCTGAGGGCCTCCCAGCCAGTGCCCGAAGCCCCCTGCTGACCCAGCCCTTCTTGCTTCTCCTCCTCATACCCAAGCCTCCTCAGGGCGTTGGGCCGGCCGCTGCGCACACCTCTCCCAGTGCGCACTTCTGCTCCCTGCTCAGCCACCAGGCTTCCCTGCCTCAGGGATGCTCTGATCGCCTCCCTGACCCCCCGGCTTCGGACTGACCAGCGATCTAACCTTCCAACCCTTCACTCCGTGATGCAGTGCACGGGCAACTTCCTCATCGCGTCCTGACTGCTGGGCACGGCAGCACAGTCGGGCAATGGCCCGCTGGCCCTCTTCCACCCGTCTGCACCCGGGCACCTCCTGGGGCTCTCTGGATGTTCCCTGGGTCTTTGCTTCACTTTCCTTCAAACCGTTCTATTCTCATTCGTAAGCCTGAACCTTCCATCACCGCAGTCTGCAGAGATGCTTCCAACACTCAGCCTGCTCCCTCTCAGCCCACAGACCTCTCTGCAAGCCTCCTGCCCCTTCTGAGTGCACTGGCCAGTCCCACACCTTCATCTTCTGCAGACCACCCTCCCCCGTGGGATCCTTACCTTACCTCACCCACCTGCACCTTCCCTCCCAGCCTCACTTCAACCCATGCTCAGGTCCTCATTATTCTCCCCAACCTAAGAACTCCGTGCTACTTCCTCTACCTCATGGTCTGCCCAGGGATCTCACAGGGCCATCTGCACTCAGCACCTCCACCTCTTACACTTGTACCCCTTGATCCATTGGCACTGTGCCTGGTGACATCCTGGAAGCCTGCCAGGGAATGCCTTTTATGTGTCCAAAGCAACAGCTGCGACTGATGGCTGTCTCCCACCCAGGCTGGGTCGAAGCCCTGCTCCATGCTCCAGGCCCAGTTGCAGCCAAATGGGGGCTGCCGACTTGTTCACTCCCAGGCAAGGCCCTCATCTCCCCACGGCCAGGCCTAGACCTGTCAGGCCTGTGTCCCGGGTCACCAGCATAAAGCAGGCTGGCAGCGAGGCGAGCTCTCAGCTTCAGCTCCTTTTCTTCACTGTGTCTGCCATGGCCTCACCTGAAGCTCTCTCCCCGCCCTGCCTGCTTGGGAGCTTCCTGCTCCAGACAGTAGCTCCATGCAGCTGCCCGCGCCGTTCCTCCAACACTAAGAATGCTTCCAACTGCTGCCCTTTAGGAAGGACAAGGTATGCACCTGGCTCTATGGTTCTGCTGCTCAACACAGTGGCCGAGGACTCTAGAGGAAGCCGAGCCAGCAGAGCTTGCACAGCGCTGTGGGCTGAAGCGTCACTCAAAGGTCAGCCACGGGGGCTTCTCAGTTTGAAGGGACAGGGCCACTCCTGAGGCGCCCTCATCGTCTGCCAGCTCAGCCACACGCACACACAGCAGCACGGCCTCTGTGACGCAGCTCCTCCTGCCCCACAGAAGCAGACTGGACGCCTACATGTTTTTGCAATCGTATTTTGACTGTGTTTTTTTTAAACTGGGAAACATCAGACAGCGGTACACAGACCACAAACCCCTCCTTCTACTTACTGTTTCTTAGTCTCTTCAAATTTGTGCAGCTTTTTGCGGAGACCTCCTGACTTAAAACCTTGGCAGTGTGCCGCTGGTGCTCCGATGGTGACGATGTCGTAGTTCTGATCTGAATGACAGAAAGCTCTCCTCCGTTACTCTGGGCTCGGGCCTGCGGACAAGCCAGCTGCAGGGATATGCACAGCACTCTGCGAGGCTTCCCCTGCAGCCCTTCTCCAAGCGGCCTCTGCTCCCTTCATCCCACAAGCTGGGCTACCAGAGCACCTTAGCAAAGCGGGCTTCTCCGGGCCTCCAGGTGCAGCCAGAAGGGCTGCAGGAAGCTCCTAACACTCGCTTCCTTCCCTCCTGGGAAAGGAAGTTGGAGGGAGGGGACTGGGTTCTTCACAAAGACCTCCCGAAGGTCCTTAGGCTGTTTCTTCTCGGAGCCACCTAGCAGCACAGCATACAGGGAAACCGGGGCAGATGTGGGGCAGCTCAAGGACCAAGGATCCAGGGAGAAAAGAAATGGAACGTGATTCAACAAGACAGAAAAAGAGGTACCTGATCCTCCATCATCTTGCACTCTCATCCTTTGTATGTGCAGGTTTGTGGGAACAAATTCTAACTTTTTATCTGCTTTCAAACTGCTTGCTTTAAACGAGGGACCTAAGAAATGCAATACGAGAAAACAAAGGTCTCACCCTGTGTCACAAACAGCAGGTAGAAAACCGGTGCTCCGGGGCTGTGCCTGCACACAAGCAGCCCGAGCCATGCACGAGCACTCCGCCTTTGCGATGGGGGCTGAGGGCAGCTCGCCAGCCAAGAGCCTTGCTCAGGGTGCTTAGCATGAGGGCAGCCAGAGAGGACCGGCCCAGGGAGGCCACACCCTCTGGGACTCAGCTCACAACTCAGGGAGCTGACACACAGATGTGATCTTGCAGCGTGGTGTCAGCACCACCACAGAAGCAAAGGAGTCCATGCCACAGACTGCTGTCCCGGCCTAGAGACTGCTATCACCCAAGATCTCAGCAGCTGGGTTGGCTACAGCATCTCAGTTCTGGTGAGTGATGAGAAGGCCCCGCACATCACCACAGCGCAGCCCTGATTGCAGGCCCGAGGACACACGGTCTGACCAGGACCCTTGTGCATGCTTGGTTGGTGAGAGAGACTAATGTTAAATGGTAATCAGAGGAGAAGAAGAAATGAACAGTCCATCTAGTGCATACTGCCGACATGCAGATCACGGGCCAGCAACTGTATGCTCCACATTTTGCCACAGGAAATAACTCCTCGATATTGGCACTCATGCTGTGGCCCTCAGACCAGCAGCCTGGGTGTTCTATGACTCAGACAGATGCCGAATCCCAGACTTGCTTTTTAACCAGACTCTCAGCTGACATTTGGGAAGCTCTGTCCTGGAAAACTCAAGGTTGTGCGGGTGCCACACTTTCCCAGGTAGCACCCGTTCAGCATGGGTGGGTGCCTCGTTCCTCAGGCAAATGCTGCCATTTCTCAGTGGTGCAATTAGACCTGTTCTTTCGGCTCAAACCTAACCCACGCAGACCTGTATTTGGTCTCACCCAAGTTTATGAGCAGGTTTGTATGTTCCATGTCAAAAATACATTAAGGACTTAATAATGCTCCTTAAACCCCAAAATAAAATTATGTAGAGGAAAAGAAGGAAAGAGAGAATAATTTGAAATGCTAAAGCCACAAATAAAATAATGAAAAACCATGATGCTTTTTCAATTTGGAAGAAAAGGGAAATGAGTTGAGAACAGTCTTCTCCATCTACTCTGATAATATTTTGAAAATCAGACAGCATCTGTTAAGAATAAATGGTGTAGGGCCGGGGTGTGGCTCAGTAGAGTAGCTGCCTAGCACGCACGCGACCTAGATTCAATCCCCAGCACCACAAAAAAAGAAAAAGTGAGGTATTAAATGGAGGACTCCCCTGTCAATTTACATGTTCGACTGAAGTAACAATGAATACTGAAGCCAGAAAATCTAGAAAGCTGCTTTGTCTAACAGCTGTTGTGTGTCTTAATCCTTTTGGTTGCCTTAGTGCTATTAGACCAAGGACGAAGAAATGGCATGAACCAGTCACAGTCTGTAATTCTGTCTCCCCCAAATTTCATCCTACATGGTTGTTTAGGCAGATAACACCACAGAAAGATTCTCCCTGCAATTCCTTGATTTGCCTTTTTAATTAGGATCTGAAAAACCCACATTTGAAAGAATTACATCTACATGAGAATCTATTTTTAAAACTCCACTCAAGCATCAGCACAAGTGTGTGAGTGACCTGGGTCCCAATCTCTGGCCGGGAAAGGCGGGTCCAGGTGCCTCTCGAGGGCAGGACTGTACCCACCTTTGTACTGATGGAGGTCAGTCAGGTTCTCCTGGTACGTGAGGATGACGGTCTGGTATTGGGTGACAATCTGGCGCCGGAGGCTCTCCCAGCAAGGGGACAGCTCCCCCAACTCCTCCAGCTCACAGACTCTGCAAGGGAGACACACATGTGAGACCTAAGGGGCAGGGGTGCAGGGGTACCTACCAAGAGGTCAGAGGTGCAGGAAAAGGGCACTGATGCCCAGGGAGGGCCAAGCAGGGGTCATGTTGTCAGCCTGATGGGGACAGACAGCTACACCAATGAGCACATGGGGAGTGGGTAGAAAAGCTTCTACAGGAACACAGTCGAATGTTCAAGGGAACTAAGTAGAGGTGGGGACAAAGGGAAAGGCCATCAAGGAGTGGCTGTGTTATGGTGTTCCGAAGACTCTGCTGCCAGCACTTGGCCACAGGTATGGCCTGCCATTGACTGGACAGGATGACATATGACCCTGCAGAACAGAGGACTGGAGGCCTGTGAGTCCCCACCCCAAGGCCATCTCCCCTAGAGGGCTGTGAGGACAGTGCGTCCTCGTCTGCCAGGTTCCCCAAGGGCGGGCTTCCTGCCCGCCCTGCCCTGGGAACAGAACTGCAGACGTAACGCTGCTCGGCCAGAGCTGGCTCCTCAGCAGTGGGGCTCTCAGAGCTCGGGCTGCAGTCATCGGCTTCTTCTCTCATCTCATCCTTTCCGGGTGTGGACAATGACCGTAAGGATCTGGCCCCCTCGGCTATTCTCCCTTCACTGCCTCTGTCAGTGTGGAGCTGTCTGAAACTGAGCGCTCTGTGAGGTCATCCCAGGCCTGGCCCTGGCCCTGGCCGAGCTGTGTGCTTGACAGGAGCATGAGGAGGGGTTGGGGAAGGGACAAGGAGAAGAGGAGAAAGAGGAATTGCTATCCCCGGAAAAGTACAGCTGAGCAAGTGTGTAAGAGCTGAAATATGAATTCTAAGCTTAACCCAAGAATAACAGCAACACGATCATCATAACAGCACATGATGGATCTTTTTAAGAAGGAGACCATATTAGGACAATGAGCACTGAGAAGGAATAAGACTTAAACTCCTCATCCCAGGAAATCAGCAGCTAATCCGTGACAGTGATTAACGAAGACAGGAGGCCTCTCAGCACACATGTAGAAATATAGGAAACACTCAAACCACTAAAAGTCACGACTGCTTCTGTAAAGAAAGTAAAGAACCCCATGTTTTCCTTTGGGGGTGGTGCTCATTTTTAGGAATCAACTAAATTGTCTTTTAAAACTTTTGCCATTTTATTACTATTAAAATAGCAAACCTGACATAGAAAAACAGCCAGTACAAGCAGGGCCATGGTGGAGCCAAGGTCCCTGGGCCCTGCCAGCCACTGGCCAGCTGGCCACCCTCTCTTCTTGTCTCTCCTGTGCTTCTGGTATCAGCTTAAAGTTGCTATTTCCCAGAGGCCAGGCCTGACCCGCCTTTCCACACAGACACATCTGGCTCTCCTGGGCGTGGCTCCCAGGTCTGCAATCACTGACCATCCCTGCTGTCCGTCCATCCCGAGCACAGTGGCCAGCGTGCAGCTATGCAGCTACTGCTAGTAACACTACAGCAACAAAATAGTGTTGAGCTAAAGCCCCTGTCTACGGAATGAGCTCTTTGAGGCTGAAACACACAGACAACGGGACAGCACATCATAATGAACAATTAAAACATGAAAAGTGAAGCTACATGGAAAAGTACACTGTACCTATGTAAACATATGCAAATATGGGCAAAACTGAAAGGAAAATTTTAAAACTTAGAATTATAAAATACATACATACAAAGAAATAAAGCAAATAACAAAATATTAAAAGTGGTGAGTTTAGGTGGAAAGCATCTGCATATTTGCTACATTATTGCTCTTTTCTCTAAATTTTTTCAAGATAAAACTGGAAATAGTTGTTTTTTTTTTCTTTTTTGACCAATTTTGCATGCTTGTATTTGGTAATCTGAACAACTAATTTGAAGACAACAATATGCAATATAACCACCACTGGTGAATTCCTACCACCTTGTTTAGTGAAGCTCTGTATTCTCTCTAATTTTTTTTGCTATTGTTTCCTATTTTCTTTAATGCTTTGATTACTCTTGCATTCTGACATCTGGTAATCTGAGCAACTTCGTTGAAGATAGCAATATATGCAATGTAGCAATATAACAGTATGCAATATAGCAATATAGAGCAATGTGCAATGTAACAACCACTGTTAACTTCTATCATCTTGTTTTGAAACCCTGCATCATTTTTATTGTTTTTGCTTTGTTTTGCTTTTTAATTCTCTTTAAAATAAAAAGATGGAAATAGCTGTATCTGAACAGTGAAGTGCCGTTTGCCCAGGTTCCTTTCACACTCCCGGGACACACTGCCAGTCCTTAACATCGTTACGGGACCAGGAGCAGGCACGGCAGTCGGGGTCAGCCGAGGCAAATCTGCAGGTCCGAGCCACCTCTCAGGTCTCTGCCTGTGGCCCCCACTTGAGACCCTCGGTCCACAGGACCAGAGCAGCCGGGTGGGCCATGCGCAGTCTCTGGAGCCCTCACCGGGGCCCTGACCTCAGAAACTGCTAGTCGGTGATGACCAAAGCACAAGCAGCTGGTTCCAACTTCCTGAAGGACAAGTAAGAGGGGCAAGAAAAGGGTAGGGAAGGGAGGGCGAAGGGCCGGGCACCCCCGGGGATTCGAGCACTAACCTGAGGAATCCTCACCCTGCCATGGAGCAGAAGGGCGAAGGCCAGGTTACCAGCCAAGCATCTGCCACATCTCCAAATGGAAGGGGCGCATGCCATGGGACATGCCTCACCTGGCTGCGTCTTCTTCCAGCAGGAGCTTCACAAACTGTCGGGGCACATGCAGGGACAGCACGCTCTCCGCCATCTGCTCCAGGATCCGCAGGTGGTTGCCGTCGGTGGTTGGGAAGCGGTACATGCGGCAGATGGCGCCACCGAACACTGAGGTGGGAGGACAGGAGACACAGGCTGCAGCTGAGCTGGCCCTGACCTGCCTCACGGGGCCTGGTCTTCTCCTCAGAGTTAAAACACCGGGGACAGACCTCTAAGTGACTAAGTCTGAAGGATCCACCCCCCTTGACATTCAATCTTCTTGTCTCAGAAGAGGTAAAGGGCAGGGGCTGGGGCGAGGAAGGTGTCAGTCACTAAACCTGACATGAAACAGGAAAGAGAAAGGAGGAAGAGCCCTTTCTGGAGGCATTACACTGCAGAAAGATGGCAGAGCGAGGAGCCAGGTGGGGGCCGTCAGGGCGCCGCTGTGACTGCACGGCAGGTGGGGAGTGAAGGGTGATTACGGCTGCGGGGCAACTCAGGAGAGTGCCAAGGGTTGAGAAAGCTGTTTACCTGATTTCAGTAAAGTGTCTTTTCGCAATGAAGCATATTTAGACCGGATTCCCAAGGCCTCGGTCAAGCTCTCATCAACGGGCAGCACCATCTAATGACGTGGACAGAAAAGCACAAGGGAACTGAGACTCAGACCACTGTGGTGTACTCCACAGAAACGGGGGCCTCAGACATCCCAGATCTCTCCAGTCAACACGCACTGAGAACTCTGCGGGGAGAGCACGGGCTGAGCCATGCATGCACACACAGACACACACACACACACACACACACATGCACACACACACGCGCACACACACACACATACACGCACGTACGAAGCCCCTGTACACAAAGCGGCCCCGGCACACCCAGCTCTCTCCTGCGCATCTCCTCAGTCATTCACTTTGTGCTGCAGGCTTCTGGTGTTTAGAATGAGGGAGACAGACAGACCACGCGGAGGACTATTCTCAGAGCTGGTGCTGGCGCTTATTTTAGGCACAGTGAGATCTCTGCATTTTACGATGACGGCTCGGTGGTGTTGGGACACTGAGAACGCGCACTCGGAAGCACAGGGGTGTCTGGTGAGACTGCGCGCTGGGAGCTGCACACGGGGCATGGGGGAGCACAGTGTGTGAGGGGTCTGTGGGGCCCCAGTGTGTCTGAGAGACAGTTATCACCAACATCGGACAGGCGGGCCAGCTGCGTCTCACCTGCTTCTTCACTCCCAGCCTTGGGCCAAGCTTTCACCCTCTGGCTCCTGCTTAGAGGTGGCCAGCGGGGAGGCGGGCAGAGGCAGGCTCCGGGGCAGCAAGGCCTTGCAGGCTAGGCCAGGAGCCCTTTCTTCCTACCCAGGGCCTTGCCAGCACGACAAGAGGTGGGCATCATGCAGCAGGGCCCATCCTCTGCTGAGCAGAGGCTAAGTAAGTCCCTGTGGACAGGTCTTCCACTCTTTCTGAGGGACAGCAGGAAGGTCGCCTACTCACCCTCCCGTTGACGGTGTCCACAGACCGAGTCACCGGGGGCCGCTGGTCTGACTTCTCTTCCATCTGCCAGCCAATCACGGTGATGTTACCCACACGGTCGCTCTCTGCGGACCTGCCACAAGCAGCATGCTTGAGTGGGCTGACAGCCCTGCTGCTGAGAAGCAAACCTCAGCTTTCCTGGGTCATCGGGGTCCCCGGAATGGCAAGGCCCAGCCACGGGTCAGTCTGGCACCATTCTCAGTTATGCGCCTCTGGGGAAGGCCGAAAAGGAAACCTCGGAGCCCTGAGCGGGCTGCATCTGACGGGTGTGTGTGTGTGTGTGTGTGTGTGAGACCTGGTGAAGGTGGGGGGCTTCCCTGAGGAGGAGCCAGCCCCTGGGCTCACCCTGACAAGGGGACAGGGGCCCATCTCAGAGCCTGGGCTTGAGAGCACCTTTTCTTGGCACCGGGTCCCTCTCTGCTCTTTCCCACACACCCTCACTCTTTGATTAGTTCCACAGCCTAGGTCTGGATTCCACCGAGGACTTCCTGAAGCCCCTGAATCCTGAGGTGATACAGCTTACGCCACTGAAGCCTTGGTCAGCCTTGCGGGGGTGCTGACAATGGCCTGTGCCCATCTGGGGAGCCCTGGGGTTTTATTTATGATGCTTGACTTAGTCTAGTTCTAAATTTGTATGTGGTCACATGTACTGAGCATTTCCTCTGCAACATTCACTGCTCTCTTGCCTAGAAAAAGCCTTCCCTGTGATATCCATCCAATAGTCGCCTCTGGAAAAGGAAAATGTTTATTTCTTAGACTAACCTCTGACCCAACTAGCCTGAGTTCTAGACAGATCCCCTAGTTTTTCTCAAGCAGCCTTCTCCCTCACATGAATCGTCCCTCTCATTTTACCTAAGATTCTTCCTTTTTCCTGAATCAAGTTCTCCATACACACTGAGGACTGCTGGCAAAGCTCTCGTCCTGTCTGCAGATGGGACAGCCACACGCAGTGCTGTCGTTACTTGTGGTAGCTTCCAAATGTCCCCATATTGCAGGGACTGATTCTTCTTGGTTTGCTATTTTGAACTATTTTCCAAGAAAATAATTTTCCAATTTTTACATAATTTTGAATAAAGAACAACAAGCCAGGTTTGTGTAGGACTTGTTTCTAGAATGAACCTGGGACGCGTGGACATCTTTCACTCCTCCCCAGGGACACGCTGCAGGATCCCCCTATACTCATTCATTCCCTCAGTAAGTATCTACTGAGTACCAGGCACAGTTCTAGGCCACTGGGATGCAGGGATGAAGGCAAGCGGAGAAAAATCCTTCCTGCCTTGGAGGGTGCAGTCTACTGAGAGGACAGAGAGCAGACAACTACGCTTAAAATCACAGATAACACTTATACGTATATATACACACAGACCTCCTTTAGGTCTGAGCACAGCTGGGCCCGTTCTTCCTACGGGCAGCACACACTTTTGGCCTGATGGGTGGAGGGGTTCACACTGCATCACTTTATGGACACCCTCCCTCCTCAGAGGCCAGGTTTTCTCTCAGAACAGAAAATGGCCCCTTCCCACTCTGCCCCTGGATCTCACAACTCCAGACCCCTTCAAAGGAACACGATTAAGTACCAACCTTAGTGTTAGATGCAACCTATGATGCCTGTCCTGGAGCAGATCTTTGACAACGAATGTTCCAGAGCCCAGTAAATACATCTGAGGAGGAGGAGGAGGAGGACAGGAGAGAGCATGAGTGTGCTAGTCTGGCCTCTGGTACCCACAACATACCTCATCCCACCGCAGGAACCCAAGACAGAGGCTCAGAAAGAAGCTCCCAAAGACAAATACAAGTTTAAACACCAGTTAATTTGTGAGCTAGAATGAAATCAGGTTTGGGTGGAATGATTTTGTAAAAATGAAACAAAACCCAGGAACCACAATCTGTTACTTAACTGTTCCCTGAGATCTATCTTTGACATCATACACAGATAGTTTGATTTGTGTCATCTGATTGATAAGAGAGTCCTGAAAGAAGGCAATACTGCTTAGGAAGATAGGATTGTTGGTTCCCTAGAACAGGAAAAAAAAAATTGTTTTTTAAAAACAAACATTTTCACAATGAGAAATGAACATTTTTACTGACTTGGATCAACACATATGCTAATGGCATTTAAAGGATGACACAACCCAAAAAACTGCTTTTCCAAAAGAGGAAAATGTAGTCTGACGCAGACCATTAGAGATCCAGACACAACAATCAGGCCCATTGCACAAGCCGGCCTGGGGCTCATTTCTAAGGGTTTCACATCCCACATATTTGGGAGGAAGACTTTTCTAAAGGTGAAACCGGTTCAGTGTCTGCATGCATTCCCAGCGTTCCCACTTCGGCACATTCCCACCTTGGGACCTGCTACTGTGGGCTGTCCTTTAAGACATACCGACAGGCAGGCAAAAGAGGAAGTGAACGGCTTACATTATTATTTCTGGACTCCTATATTTGGAATAATTGAAGTCTGGCTTTTTAAAGCTATTCTTCTTAGGAGCAGCTGCTAGTTTCCAGATCACAGGTGGTTATTTCCTGGCAGCTTAGCCCTGCCCTCAAAGCCCAGCAGATCACGTGCTTTCTCTCAGGCCATGGTTGGCTGCCTCCGCCCAGGTGCTCCTGGCCAGCCTGTGCCTGCTGCGGTGCCCGGCCGGCCGGCCTGTCCTCTCTGTGGCTGCAGATCCAGCCCTCAGCGCCTGCTGGGCAGCCTGGGCGCCTGCAGCCTCGTGTCATCTAGCACCGTGCCTGAGGTGCAGGCAGCGCTTGAAAAATGCGCAGGGCACATGATGCCCAACCGGAACCTGGAAGCGAGTTTCTAAGGGGCCTGTCTGTAAAACCACTTTGAGAGGCTGTTTCTATGTAAAATTATGCCTCATTATGTTTTTATGTAAAAACATAAAAATAATATAAGTGCAGTTTGATAGTTCATATTACAAATATAACCCTGTAGAATTTCATACTAGCAACTCCTACAACTCCTAAACACTTCAGGTTATAATTTACATAATGTTCTCACTATCTAAAAGGATTCTGTAAAATTCTACTAATTAATTCATTCAATTAACTTAAAGAGCAAACATATAACACAAAACTCAAAAGGATGTAAAAAAAAAACAAGCCAACAGAAATAGGGCTACGCCCAGCAAGGATTGCTTAGTAGTTAACTCTTCCAAACTCTGGCCATTGAGCACAGTTCTCTACAACTAGCAGCCAGCTGGAAGTGGAAGGAAGAATTAGTTCTTACCTCTCCAAATGGGACCAACCTTAGCATCACTGTCAGAGACCGCCATCCAATATTAATCAGTAATAGTAAAGGATGTGGCAAATGTAAACATCACACACAAGTAAGAATGATGGAAAATGACAACTCACAACTGAGTACTGAAACCCGCAACAACTCCCATAAATACAGCAGCTATGAACAACAGCTGTGGGCACTCGGGAACTAAGCAACCTTCCCGCCAGGTCCACAAGCACCATGTGAGTGTCCCGGGGCCCTAGGAGGGGCGGGACAGCGGCACCCACCTCGATGATCTCCGTCTGCGCGTGCTTTGTCCAGAAGGCCTGAGGAGGGGTGGTGACACTCACTGCTACAAAACTATTTGGTTTCCGATCTAGTGACGGGGTATGCAGCTCACTGCAAGCTACGGAATCAAGAGAGGAGAGAAATGAATCCTCTAAAGCCAGGCTCTAAGTTAGTTACAAGCAAGCCGAGAGAAAGCATAAAGTGACAAAATAAGATGGTTGTTGTCAGCTGTCAGAGGGAGCTGATTTTTTAAATTTTTGAAACTTGAAAATTTAGAAATCCTTTTCCTTCTTCTTTCCTGCTCCCACACACAAGGCAACAGGCCTTTACTGCAACGGTCAGCTATGCTGGAGGCAGTTTCTGCATCCGCTACCTGGACACAGGGCCCACAGCCTTGCGTGGGGTCGCACGTGTGCCTACAGGTGGGCCTCAGCAACTAACAGTCCCAGCCAGCCAGCCAAGGGGCCACAGAGCCCATGGAGCACAAGCTGCAGCCCTGCAAGCCTGCACCCTGACCCTGCAGCTAACCGTAAGCTTCCGGTGCTGCGTGTGCTTGGTGTGGGAGGGGTGGCTGCTGGATAGAACTCAAATTCTATGGCAATATAAAGCATTCTTTTAAAAGTCACTGCTCACTTATTCTCCTTAAACACTCATATCAAATGCAAGATTAAATATGTTACTTTTTAGAAAAAATATCTAATAGAACCATTTCAGTTAGAAAAATGTGTCATACTAAGCATTTTGAAATCGATTACAAGTCTCAGTTAATTCCATCATGGAAATGACCCAGAGGAAAAATTATCATATTTCACTAAGTCTAACAAATTCTCAGATATAAAATTCCCTATGAAAGGAAAACAAACCCAACTGTCATTAAACTATGATATGTTAGTGACAGCCAGGTACTTCTCATTAACAAGATATTAAAATGTAAAAAAGGGTATATCTTGGAAATGATAAACTATATGGCAAACCAAAGCTCAACACAAGTAAAAAAAAAGAAAAAAAACTAGGTTCATCTAGAAATATAAAAGGTCAGTTGTGCCACCTTTAAAATTCAGAATAGAAAACATTAAAATGTATTAACTTAGTCTTTTGAGATGAAAAAAATTCTAGAGATGGATGGTGGCTGCACGGCCTGACAATGTCAGTACACTTACTGCCACTCAACGGTACATGTAAAAAGGCTAAAACTGCACACTACAGAATGTAAGTCTATCATAATTAAAAATATATTACCAGCCCAAATTTAAAAATATGTTCTCATGCCCGCAACACTCAAGGTAAGTGCACAGGAAAATCAAGGAAAGGAGGGATAGGATGGAAGGAAGACACAAGATACAAAAAAAGATGGGAGGTGGGAGAAAAGAAAATTAGGCAAACACGAAGGAAGGGCAGTAGGAATACGTCTGGTAGGGCAGGTGAGAGGAATGCCTTGTTATGCACGAGGTGAGTTGAGCCGAAAGGGTTTGTTCATCACGTTCGCTTGGAATGAGCTGCTGGTGCTTGCTGTCCTTCGGAACGAGCTGCAGTGATCTAACACTGCATAGGCCATACTGCTCTTTTTAGTTCTAACTACACTTCTCCTGCCGTTAATACTACCCCACCAGCTATCCCTTTTCTTAGCACACACACCTGTGCGTGTGTGTTGGTCCAGTTTTACAGTCACCACCTTAGCGATGCCTCCATCTTTCCTCCAGACCCCTTGCCTCGTGTTTTGGGGTTTTCAATCATTACTACATCTGTGAACGTCCACCTGGAATCCTCTGCCTTCTACCGAGTAACACCCCTCAGCATTATTTATACTGAAGTCTGCTGCGACATGTTCTTTGGCTTTTATGGTTTGAAAAACATCTCTATGGGGCCCCAAGTCTTAAGGGATATTTTCTCTAGGTAGTTATTTTCTCTAAGACCTTTAAATATACTGTCTCTGGGTTTCTATTTTTCTCCTATGAAGTCAGCTGTCAGTGTAATTACTGCTACTTTGAACACTGTGTGTGCGTGCATGCGTGTGTGCACATACACGCATTTTCTGGCAGCTCCTATGATTTTCCCATTGAGTCTGGTTTCCAAGGGTTTTACTCTGATGTATCCAGGGATATTTTCATGTATTCTGTGCCTTGGTATATTTTATTACCTTAAGAGAAATGTCCAGCTATAAATACTGCTTCTAGCCCTTCTCTCTTTATATGTCTTCTGAGACACAAATGTGTGCTACATATTCTCACTGGTTTTTTAAAAAATATATTTGCTTCTGTTTTATTTTTTCTATTATTTTTATATCTCTGGCTGCATTTGGAAGTGTTCTTCTTGACCTATATCTAAAATCATCAATTTTCTTTTCAAATGCATCAAAGCTGCTTTTTATATCTACCCAAAGATTTTTTAAAGTAGGTATTTTAGTTTTTAATTCTATAATGTTCACTTGGTTCTTCTGTGGTTTTCTAACTCTCGGATGAGGCATTCAACAGTGTCTTCACTCTACTTCAACACAACATTATGGGCTGAGTGCCTACGGGGGGCCACATTTACACGTTACAATCTTGATTCCCAAGGCAATGGGACCATGTTCGCAGGTGGTGCTGTTGGTGGGAGACATCTGCTGGCATCTCGACCTTGGACTTCCAGCCTCCAGAACTGTGCAACGGAAGTTGCTGTGTTGAAGCCACCCAGTCCATGACACTATGTGACAGCTGTCCAAACTCAAAAACAGAATCAACACAGTTCTTTTAACATCTGTGTGTCTTAGCTCTGTGTCGGGAGCTTCTATGGATCTGTTTCTACTGTTTATTATTTGTTTGTGGTCTCTTGCCATGTTTCTGAGAATTCATAAATTTATGCTGAATATCATATTTTTAAAATTGTAAAAATGATCTGAGGCCCAGGCAGATGCCATTTTTCCTGGAGAAGCGCAGCAACTGCTTCTGCCTGGCACCTTCGGGTACCTTCACTTCCTCTCAGGCACTGAGCGGCCCGTGGTGCCTGTGCACATCTGTTTCTGGTTCCCTTTGTTTGAAAAAGTGCAGTGTGTTCTGCGGGCCACCCTTCTCCTTGGGGATCCCAGTGTGAAGGGGCTGTGGAAACCCCGGTTCAGCCTCTGTCTGCGGGGCCTGGCTCTCAGGAGCTGCTGGGAGCCTCCGTCACCAATCCCCCGTCCTATTAATTCTCTGGACACCTGGACACCTAGGTCACAGACTCTGGAGAACTGACAGTTAGGTCACAGACTTTGCTCCTTTTTTCTAGCTGTTCTTGATGGTAAGATTCTAACTTTGTGGGGCTTTCCCCCCTCATTTAGAAGCAGGTAATTTTTTTCCCCTTCATCTTTTGACCCCTCAGGTCAATCATCCCAATTGTCCTGTCTTGCATATTTGCTGATTCTTCCTTTTTCTGCCTAAAGCTAAGCCACTCTTAATGAATTTTTCAATTAAGTTACTGTACTTTTGAACTCCAGAATGTGTCATTCTTCATGGTATCTATCTTTTCACTGATACTCTATTTGGCGAGACACTGTTCCAATACTTTCATTTAATTCTCTAGATATGGCTTCCCCTAGTTCTCTGAACATATTTGCAATAGTGTGCTTTCAATCTTTGTCTAGTACGTCAAACATCTATGCCTCATCACAGACAGATTCTATTGACTATGGAGTTTTGTTTTAAAATTTCCCTGTGTATGAGGCATATTTTCTTGGCTGTTTTGCACACTTCATTTCTTTGTTTGAAATCCCAATATTTAAAATTATACACGACAGTAACTCTAGAAATCAGGTTTCTGCCCCCTCAGGGTTTGTTGTTCCTGCTTGTTATTGCTGTTGCTGCCTGTTCATCAATGACTCTCCTCTTCCTACTGTGTAAAGTAATACTCTGTGTCACATGTGGCCACTGAAGTGAATGCCTGATTAGCTTGGCGGTCAGATAAAGCTGGACCGAGGTTTCCTTAACCACCAGGAACCACAGACCTCTGATGTGGCTTCTGCTGAGGTTCTCTGTGTGTACACTGGAGCACATCTTCAGGGCTCAGGCAGGCCATTTAAAACTGCCTGTCCTCACTTCCTGCTTGCACAGAGCCTCTAGGTGACTGCTTACAGCCTTCTCAGGTCTCTCCTGAGCGCGCACCGAGCTACACATGCTCTGGCTGCTAGGAATAGGTCAGAGCTCCTTAACACTCACTGTGGACATTTCATTCCCCAGCTTTCCCTTTTAGGGTTCGTTTTTGGGGTTTTTTGGTCAGCTTTTTTGCTTCAACTGTTAGGGTACCTCAGGCAGCTGCACCTCTATCATCAAAGTTATTAAAAATTTCCATACAGCACTCTGTGGGAATGAAAATAAAAATGTACACCAAAATTTCCAACTGATGATCTGTCTCAATAGAGAATTCTCTTCTTCTAACACTTCTTGTATTTAAGGTTTTATAAAAATCAGAAATGTAATGTAAGTTTGCTTGCTTGCTTTTGGAGACAGGGTCTTGCTATATGGTTCAGGTTGGCCTTGAACTCACTGCATAGCCCAGGCTGGCCTCAAATCTAGGCAATCCTCCTGCCTCAGCCTCCCAAGTTCTGGGGTTATAGGCATGTGCCACTATGGCTGGGGTTACATACACATGAATACTTTTTTTGCAGTGGCAAAGTTTATTTGAAAAAGTAAAGAGTGAGAGAGAAACTAGCCCTGCAGAGTGAGCTTGGGCCGAGTAAGAGAAGGCAAGCTGAAAGAACACCCTGAAGAAAGGGGAGGGGGTGAGATCATGGGGAAAAGCTATAACAGCCTAATTTTTTAATTTTTAAATTTCTGTATTTTTCTTTTAGAAGTCAATATATTTGCCCACTCAATCATTCTACTCCTTGCTAACAGTTTTTAAAAAGCAACTGTGGTAAAATCCAGTTCACAAAATCATTCTCACCTTAAGTGGTTTCATCGTCCAAAGTCTAATTAACATGACTGCTTTTGCTCTCCCAGATTCAGAAATGTTTTGATTTCTGTTACAGGGATGAGGGTTTTTAATTTAATGTCATCGCTCTCATCCTCTGGATCCTCAATCACTTCAGCTCAGCTTTTTGCTAAATTCGCATTCTGCACAGTTAAAGCGAAGCACACACTACTCACCGAGAGCCTCATGGGATTTCTTTCACCTCTCTCTAGTGTGAACTCTGTTTCCTGGATACCATCTCATCTTTTTTCTCAATTTATTCCTTCTTTTGGGTGGAGCCCATCCTCCATAATTCCAAAAAAAGCATACAGGGAAGTGAATTCGAGACTCTGTAGAGCCCAACCAGTTCGTTCCACCCTCACACTCTCTTGGTAGTCTGCTGGCACAGAAGACTGCAGGCTGAAAATATAACTGAAGGTGTTGCCTCTCTGCCTCCCAAAGTTCTCAGGGTCACTGACAAGTCCCACACCAGTTTCATTCCTGCTTCTTGGAGAGCACCTGCTCCTCCTCCAGGAGTTTCTGCAGTTCGTTTTATGTCCTTTTCTGAAACTTCACCGTCATGTGCAGGTGACGGTTCTAGGTCTTTTTTGATCGTTATGCTGAGCCCTGGAAGACATTTTTAACCTAAAAACACCTTCTTCAGTTCTGAGAGATTTCTTGTATTATTCCTTGGTAATTTCCTCCCTGCATTCTTTTTTATTTTCTCTTTTAAATATTTGGCCTCCCGGATTGACTCTCTAATTGTCCATTTCCATTTCTTTTCCATTTTCTAGTTTGCTTTTAAAATTTTACTTTGGGCCAGAGGGATATAGCTCAGTGGCATAAGGGCCTGCCTGGCAAGTGCAAGGTCCTGAGTTTGATCCCTGGTACCAAAAATAAACTTTAAAAAAATAAATAAATAAAAATAAAATTTTACTTTGTAGGAGAATTCCTTGAATAATTTCTAAATTCCATGGAATTTCTAAATTGTATCTGTCATATTTAACATTTCTAAGACTGTCTTTATTCTTTAATTGCTTTCTTCTTATGTAATCTTTTTCTTGTATACACAGATATGTGGGCTTCTCTTTGGGATATGAATTACAGTTTCTTTGGCATTTTTCTCTACTTCTACATCTCTCTTCCAAAGTTCTATTTTTCTGCCTCTTTTTCTCTTATGTTATAGGCTTCCTACATAGGTCTGGTGGTCTTCATCTATTTTATTTTTTTAATCAATTTTAAGGTATAATCTGTATATACTACATAACTATTCTGTACATACCATCCCATGAGTGTTGGTAAGCATCTACACCCATACAACCACTACCACAGAGACTGAAAGTTTCCGTCACCCCGAAAGCCCCCTTCCCTTCCCACAAACCCCGGTCTAACAACCACTAACCTGCCTGCTAGCTCTACAGCTCAGGCCTCCTGAGTTTCATGCAGCTGAGATCACACAGCATATAGCCTTCTGTGTATCGCTTCTTTTCCCTGCTCTGTCTCCTGAGCGTCACGGTGCCTTTGCGACAATGCTCCGCCTTGATCCCCTCCACCCACTACACTCGGAGGTGGCTGCTTCTCTCTCCTGTTCCCTAGTCCCCATCTGTCCCTTCCTCCAAGGTGACACTTTCGGGTTCTAAAACTCACTGTTTAGAGTCTATGTTTCTGCTTCTTATCTGTCTTAATGCTTTGGATGATTTAAGATAAGAGTGTATTTGTCCCTGGGTCAGTTTTGTGTTTTGTAAAAGGCAATGAAGTCCCGAGGTGGGCAGGCAGCAGCTGCAGGCTGCCTTCCCAGGCCTCGCATCCCAGCATGGCCACAGCGCTCACTACCTGCTGCAGACCAGCCCCAGCCATGGCTGGAAACGCTCTGAGCTTGTTTAGGAGACTAAATCTGAAATGGGAACATTTCTGCCATTTAATATCAACCTGACAATGCTGCACTTACACTTCCATGGGTTTTGTGGTTGCTCAAGACATTTTGGGGGTAGGAGAGCTTAATTGCTTTGATCATCTTGTTTCTCAAGCCAGCTCTCCCCAGAGCACATGGGGAAACTGGTTCAGCGTGGCCAAGTGGTAGGTGCAAAACCACGCAGCTGGTTTGGCACAGTCAGAACTAGAATCCTGGTCATCGGACTCCCAGAACGGGCCTCTTTTATGCCATATCACCTCCTGGACATTGCTGCCAGGCCACTGACCCATGATGACAACCACCAAGGGCTGGGAGCAAAGGAGAGAGGTCATGGAGGCAGCGGGCTCTGAAGAAGCATCTCCGGTTAGTGCCATCCAGTCTTCCAGCCTCCTGGGTAAGTCACAGCAATGCATGCTTCCCTGCCCCAGGACCCTGCACACCCAAATCCATTTCTAGTACATTGTCTCATCTGAGCACAGTGAGTTTTTACTCCTGCCCTCTCCCAGCCAGGGAGAAGGGGGATGGACCACCTCTGCAGCAGCCTGGGTGGGCTTGCCTCCCTGTCCCCTGGCATCCCCAGGCACTGCAGGACTGCAGGGACCCATGGGGACAGGAGGAAAGGCCCCTGCTGAGCAGACAGAATCCTGTCTGGTTCCTTCCTGCCCACAGGAAGTTCCCGGCCTCTTCTCAGAAATGTCTGAGCAGGAACAAGTTCTTCAAGAGAAATCCATGCCAGTGGGAGGGTTTTGCTGTTCTGTAGTTAAGGGACTTCTTTTTTTTTTTTTTTTTAGGCTTTTTGAGACAGAGTTCTGCTATGCAGTTCAGGCTGGCCTGTTGTAGCCCACTCTGGCCTGCAGGAATCCTCTTGCCTCAGCCTCCCAAGTGCTGGGATTACAGGTGTGCAATACCATGCCCAGCCTTAAGTGACTTTTTAAAAACAAAATAATAATAATGGTAATGATAGTGATAATAATAATAATAAAAAGATACCTACCTAAGCTGAACTCTAAAATGGGCTCATCTGGATCTTGTATATTTCCTGGATAGGAAACAAATGACAGAAAGAACACCCTTCAAAAACCTTTCCTTACTTTTACATTTAATAAACCCAAAACCAAAACCTCTACTCTACTTGTTCCCTCCCCAACCCTAAACTATTATAGGAGATGAATTCTTCATCTTCTAAATATTTGCCTTGGCGATCCCAAAGATACTCAGACCCCAAAACCAAACCACCCTCTACCACAGGCCTGTGAGCCCACACCATGGAGGCCTTTCACCATGGCTGGGTACATGCCAGATGGCACTGCGCGCCTTCCCATGTCACCGCCTGGCAGGTGAGCCCTGGAGGAGCCCCCGCAAGGTGGGAAACTGAGGTGACCGTGTGGCAGCAGAAGGGGTTCCCAGGAAGTGGCTGCCTTCCCCTGCCAAGCGCCTACTTCACACAGGACGCCGCGCCAGGCATCCTCCCCCACCCAGGAGGCAGCCTCCCCGGCCAGCACTGGCCCAGCCCTGTGAGGCTCACCTGCGAGAGAAAGGCCCAGCATGTCAGCTGCCACGTCGATGGTGGAAGCCCGCTGCATGGCACGGGCCCTGGCACCATGGCGAGGGCTGTGCTCTCTTGCTGTCATGATGTCATTGGTGAGGATGTGCTTCTTGTTCCTGGGTCAGACCACGCCTGATTCCCCGGGAAGCAGTGTCACCACGCCCTAGCGTCCTAGGGTGGCAGTAGCCCTGAGAAAGTGGAGCAAAGATGCCAGAAGACAGTTGCAGTGAGGACTGGAGCTGGAACGTCTGCTGCTCTCAGCCTCTTCTAGTCGCTCCTTCCCCTAACACACAGTGCACGTGCGCCCACAGAGAAGCTACCTCCTCGTCACACAACTGCGTCACGCTGCATGGTGGTCTCAACGCAATCATAAAACACGACTCTGGAGATTATTACTGTGCTGTACTATGTTTTTCTGTCGGCAGGTCTGAGAATCTCTATGAGCTTAAATCAGTTCGCCACAACCTCCAACAGGACAGAGCTGGTGGGCAGGTCTCCCATGCAGACACTACGCCCGTGTGGCAGACACGGCGGGGACAAAGCCCTCACATGTCTCTAGCTTGCTTTCTCCTTCCCGGAGCCACGCAGACTCCTTGTGTGCCATGGTCTCGGGCTCTTTCACCTAACGGAAGGGGAAGGCTTGGGGCTGAGTCAGCAGAGGCCACCCTGGAGCCCACATTCTGCTCTCGGAAACAAGTTACGCAGCAAGACGGGAGTTGTAGGTTTTGTCTAAGCCCATGTGCTGGAAGTCCTGGTGGCTCTAGAAGAGCCGACCTTTCTAACTTAAGACAATTACGCTATGCCATAAGCCTGCTTGAAAACACCCTCTGGAAGATCTCCCTATATCAGGGACACCCCAGCTTCCCAAGGGTGTCTACCCTCTCTGCCTGAAGGACCCCGGCTTCTGCTTGTGCTTTAATTTACCAAGCGACTTACTGGACATGTTCGTGCTCAGGCCACGTGGTGTTTCTTCACACACTCATGTCCAAATCCATCATCTAAAGACAGAAAAGGGCAGACTTGATGAGCTGACCACCATGTGCTCCCGAGAATGTGACGCTAGAAGGTGGGGAGCCAAAAGCTACTCCATGTTTACTGCTACTCACTGCAATCCAACTTTCGGTCAAAAATAAGTTTTGCTCAAACTCCAGAGAATGACAGAGAAAAAATGTATAGCCCCTTCCCCTCCAGGAGTGACATGGTACGGCAATGTGGGCCTGCCTTGAAGAGCCTCGCAGGCAGCCAAGGGGGTGTGGTGCAGGGGAAACGAGGAAGTGGGAATGTGGGCCCCACGTACGGCTCACAAAGCACAGGCCTCTGGAGGAGACGCCAGGCCCCGCTGAGCGAGGCTTTCGGTGTCACAGATGAGGCTATAGCTGTACCGGCCACTAGAGCTGTGGTTGAAAACCAAGTGTGTAAGAACAGAGAGGGCCCCACACGCTCCACTGAGCCCCGATGTCTGGTGCCCGGGCTCCTTCCTACAGAAGACAACCCCAGGCCCCGCAGTCCTGGCAGTGCTGTGGGCTGTCAGAGCAAGGCCAGCTGAGGAGCCACCCTGGAGGGCTGGCCTTAGAACTGGAGATCAAGAGCTGGTCACTTGGCCCTCAGGAAGACTCAGTTTCTCTGGTAGTGGGGGCCTACTGCTCCCACTGGGGGCACCTAGGGGCTTCCAGCGTGGGCACCTCAGCAGTGAGGGCCATGGTCTGGCAGGGGAGCCAAAGAAATTCTAAAGGGGAAGACTCATTGGTTTGCCAACTGTAAAAGGTGAATAAGGGCTGGGGATGTAACTCAGTGGTACAGCATCTGCCTAGTGTGCGAGGCCCCACATTTGAACCCTTGTGTGCACATGGAAGTGCGTGCGCACGTGCACGGGCACACACCGTGGTAGACAAGTCAAAAAGTAACAGTGAGAGTCGGGCATGTGGCGCACATTTGTAATCCCAGTACTGAGGCTGAGGTAGGAGGAAGGCTGCAAGATTAAGGCCAGCCTGGGGCTACAGAGTGAGTTCAAGGCCAGCCTGAACTACACAGTGAAACCCTGTTGCAAAAACAAACAAAAAAGCCGGGTGTGGTGGTGCACGCCTGTAATCCCAGCACTCCTCGGGAGGCTGAGGCAGGAGGATCATTGGAGTTAGAGGCTAGCCTGGTCTACAAAATGAGCTCAAGGCCAAGCTCAAGCCTGAACTGCATAGCGAGACCCTGCCTCAAAAAGACCAAAAAAAAAAAAAAGAGAGAAAGTAGCAATGAGAATGGTAAAACTGACTAAGTACCAATGGCATTAAACCTTGCATTTTACAGTAATGCTAGTATGAATCAACAAAAACTCACTAACAACG